TGCGGTAAAGTCATGTAGGTAGAAAATTAATAGATCCCGATGTATCGATCGCAACACAAGCAACCGTCATCAAGTGAGAGGACCTCTGAGAGGTGGGAGTAGACCTCTGAGCGGACCTCCCACCTGAAGACGGTCGCTTGTGTTGCGATCGAAACGTCGTTATCTATTAATTTTCTATCTACGTGACTTTACCGAAAGAACCAAAGACTATCATAAATATGTTAACTTTAAAAACTTAATATTTTTAAAGATATGATATTTTTCGTATGCAGAGGAATTTAAATGGAAATATAGTGGATTTTACCACGTAGTGACTTGCTTTCTTATTAGTAACGCCACGGATAGGGGGAAGCTTGATGGTTAAGCGGGACAACATTAAACACATCTGAACTTAGGTGTACTTTCACCTAAAAGTTGATTGTCAGCTAAAGGCATCTTTAATTGCCACTGCCCCCAAATATCAGTTGGGTGTTGCAGCTTGTTTGTTCTCGTTGTGTTTGTTTGTGGGTGAGGAGACGGGGGGGGGGGGGTTAGAGGACCAAGACGGACGGCTCAGATCCAGATTTTGAATCTGGACAGCTGCCTCTGGTGACATTGAGATCTCAAGTCTTGCGAGTTAATGTCCTCAGCCTGGTCCACCCGCAATTGACTGCCAAATAAAACAAAATTGTTAAATGTCGTTTTTTTTACACACCGGCTAAGTTAGAGCTTGGCGAATTTACTGTTTCAGTTTGATGTCAATCCGAGAAACGGCAGCGCTAGTGAGGATTAAAGAGGCCTATTGAAGTAAATTCTGTCGTATTCTGGTGCCGTTGTATGACAGTGGTGATGCATTACTTCCCGCATGATCTCTGGGCTTATTTAAACTACTAAACATTTTTTTTTATTTTACCAGATAAGGCCCACTTAGCTATATCAATAGCTGTTTTTTCACAAGCGACCTGGCTGCAAATTATAGCTCAACGAAAGTGGCTTATCCCGTGGAGGTTTATAGCAGCCAAATACTCTAAATGCATGTTTCTAAATGTGGAGGGAAACGCTGGAGGACCCGGACAAAAATCCACGCGACCACGAGGAGAGAGTCAAGAACACTCCAAATATACAGGCATCATCAGGGTCGGGATCGAACCCATGACCTCCTGTATACCAGGCGAGGTAGTTAACATCTCGCTACCTGGGGCCATATCATTTCACAATATTACCCTCAAAGCACAGTTGGGATACAATTGGGGAAAATATGCAATTTATTTGGTAAATAAGAATTGCTCAACACAGGGGATGCCTACGTCCATACCCTAATTATCAGGGTACATTACATCTGGCCTAATGTATGTTACATGTTGTTTGTATGTTACATCTTCCGCCCTCCCGTTGATGTTTCCGTTGTGTTCTGGGCTTGTGAAAAACAAATACATAATAATTGCGCAACACGCTTTGCTTTGTGATGTTAAACCAACTCCTTGCACTGCATTAAAACATCGCAGGTATTGTTTAATACATCGTAAGTATCGTTTAATGTGGCTGGGTGGGTGACTCGGAGGTCAGAACGCCGAGCTTCTGCTGCTGAGATACTGGCTTCAAATCTGGGTTAGAGCCACTCGCGATTAAAACCGGACCCTCAAGTGGAGCAGTTTTATAGTCTCATCCTAGTCACCAATGGCTGCACCAAAATCCATCGCATTAAATTTAATTTTTTGCTCTTCATTTGTATATATTCCAGTTTTGACATGTAAATACTCGTATAACTTTGTGACAAACAATCTCATTGCAGAGCCTGTGCGAATGTGTGACCCCTGCTGTGTTAAAAAACTGAAAAGCCACTTGAAGGAATGCATTGGGAGAGAAGGCTTGTGGAAATTATTTTCTGTGGGCCCTTTGCTTACAAAGCAGTGGGGGGCGGTGGGGGGCGTTGCTATCCAACTCCATGAGATTTCAAAATCGATTCCTGGTCTCCTGCTATGATGCCGCAAGCACAGTTGGAATAACTTTGAGGGGGGGGGGAACAAGAGATAACAATTATCGTCAATGATGGAAATATCTTAGCCGCTGCCAGTGAGGACCATCTTTAGCTTGAGATGTAATGGAATGAGTTTGTCATGCCTCTACTCTAAGCTGTAAAGTCAGTATAGTAGTAGGATTTGTCTGTGCTACAGCTGAGACTTGATTCCTACTGCTTGCAGTTTCCACTCGCCAAACTACTCTGATGTGTTTCGTGGGTAAAATTCTGTAACGTACATGCAAGTGTGAGCTGGATGTGACTGAATTAGGATAGTCTTGTGAATACTGCATTGTCACGCAAGATGTCACGCTATCATAATAATTTACAGCCCTTTGTCTATTCACTCCTGGGTGACGGCCTCCTAATGCTTGTTGATAATTTGTTTCGCAATACTTTACCACACTGGTCAGTGCAGGTTGACAAATTGGCAGGCGTGTATGTACTTATGGGATTTGTACTTATGTACTTAATGTATTACGATTTTTTTGCATACCTTTCGTTTACTCTTCACTGCTATCTTTTTTTGTATTGGAATTTGTACTCGTATGACTTGGTGACCCACGCCTACTGGACATCTGTGAAAAAGAGCTTCGTTGCTCATCGGATTCCTCTAGTCTAAATAAAGATTCTGACTCTGGAGGTCAAGAGCGGTTCAGATATGACTCGTCGCTGGTGTTAGCCCATTTCCAGGTATCAAACTTTGGTCAGAATTTCATAAGTGATTGAACAATGTCATGTGTTTGAACTGTTTCACTTTGGCAAAGCTTGTATTTAAAAAAATACCGCTAGTGGATATTTATTATATTGTTTACGATAACCTGCAATGAATATTAATCTTTGTTACATTAATTGCTGGACCTTTTGACAATGTAAGGTTAACACTCAGAAACTGAACATTAAGTAAATGAAAACAAAAGTTAAGGCACAGTCATGCAATTTTGATTTAAAGCTTTCGTGACTGCAGTAATTCATATTCTTAGCTCTTTCGGTAAAGTCACGTTGAAGGGAAACAATAAAATAATAAAATATATATAAAACAATAACAAATTCTCACGACGTTTCGACCATAACACAAACGGTCGTCATCAGGTGTGTCGGTTTGCATTATTTTTTGTTACAATACACCGTTTAAAAATAAATAAATTAATGCGAACCGACACACCTGATGACGACCGTTTGTGTTATGGTCGAAACGTCGTGAGAATTTTTATTGTTATATATATTTTATTATTTTATTGTTTCCCTTCAACGTGACTTTACCAAAAGAGCTAAGAATAGTCATGCAATTGTTTGTTCAGGTCTACTGGTGGAAGTGCCTCGATTAGAAGGCGCTCTAGAGAGCCCCTTTGAAAGGTGTTTTGGCCTACTCTTCCATGCTGACCAAATGTCATAATATTACAATTGAAAACATATATACACACACTTTTTTAATATTCTACAAGCTTATCTGTATTGGATGCAGACCGTTATAGCCAATGGGATAAATATAATAATGAACAACAATACATTTGGCTTGCAGTATTGCAAAAAAGTTTAATAAAAGCGGTAATTTATTTTCCTTTATTTTCCTTTGAACTGTTGCCGCAGGTCTGCATTGTGACAAAGGAACAAACTTAATTCTAGTGGTGTGCTATAACTTCAAAGAGCACAGCAAACCCCACTTTGTGCAGAAATTATTCAGAAATACTGTCTTGGTTTGTGCATCCTTGGAATTCCATCCAGTAGCATTCCTTATGTCAACTCAGTCGGTGAAGGCAGAAGGAAATGAGCTAAAGTTGGGTCCAGGGTTCACAGAGAATATCTGGTGAAGTAGCCATGGTAGGATGCATAAAACTGGTTTTGGATAAGGATTTGCATTTTGTTGAAAGAGGGTCCTCAAGTAACACTTGGCAGGAGCTGATCAAGATTGAATGGTTACTAAGAGCTTTGCTCGTGGTCTCAGTCCAGTCACGGATATTTGCATGGGAAGGCCATTGTCGGCGAAAGGTAATTGCACTAAATTTGGGTATGAGCCTAGCTCCAAGGGCTATTTAACCAGATATGTGCCCAGTGAAAACACTAGAGCTGCACAACAGAGTGTGCACAAGACCAGGGAGACTCTAAAAGGATGGTCAGGCCCCACTCGTGTGAAATCATTTCCCAGATGTTCACCAACATGCCGTGTGACCTGCAGCTGTCATTGGTGGGTTTTGCTCAGTGCAAGTTGTATTGCTTGGCGCATAGGTGTCAAAAATGCAGCGAGGATAAGGCTGTTTAAAATAAAGAGTTAACACTTGTAAAAAACAGAACCGAGATAGCTGGCTGTCTTGTGGGTGTAGACTCGGGAATGGGGAACAAGTCCGAGCTGGATTTTCCACTGCACGCATCTGCACAGCGCTTGCTGTTTGTCTCTTGTATTTAATTCCTTGTTGCTCAGACAACTCGCTCACAAAGGACCCCACTGTGTGAACTATTAATATTACGTGACCCAATTAAGTGCGTTTTCAAGGTTAATTTTCACTCTTGCCATGCAAATACGCAAGCTTTTGTCACAAAAATATTTAGTTTTGCATTCAAATATGAAGCTTAACATTCAATGAAATAAATTGTATTTTTGTTCCATTGAATTCAAATTGTCCTCCTTGATCAAACGATGATTGTGCACTGCCTACATCAGTCGACAGTTTTGAGTCGATGTTGAAAATTCCATATTCCCATGGCATAGCGCAGCCAACTAAGTGCTGTTCTACGTCCCACAAAGGGATACAGCCTCATTATATGGTGCTCATGTTTCTCAACCCGGTACGATCAAAATTATGATTATGGCGCCGCCGATGATGATAATGAATTTGTTGCGACGATAATGCTGGTAATGATGAGGATTACGGGACTGAGTTGACTCTGGTCCGAGTGTGAACTTGCAGACTTATAAATGAGGAGCCATGCTGTTATTACCATATGGGCTGTGAATTACTATCGTTTATGGGGAGAAACATTTTTTTAAACGGTCTTTGTTTTGCAGGTGACCTCACGAGGAAAGGATATGAGAAAAGAAGACAAAAGCTGCTCTCACCATATTTATCGAAAGTATCAGGTATGAATTTTCGTGCTCTCAGAACGTGGCCGTTATGTGGAACGGATGACTGGTCGACATGCTAACAAAAGAGCCTTTTATTGCGGTTCACTCATAAAAATGCGGCACTTTAACCAAACGTCAAACCTGTTTCGGGCATCCCGAGATATTTTCACGCACACACGGACACACAACAACAACAACCGCCATTCGCCACTTAAATGGTGGTGACGTCACCACGACGCTTGTGCCAGGCTATGTGCACGTTGAGGCCACGTGAAGTGTCGAAACGCCCGCTGGCAGGTCAACGTTTAGCCCCCTTGATCCGGCCGAACAAAAGCTGTTTAGGCATGCGGTGGCTGGGCATGCGGGCTACATTACCCAGCCAACGCAGCCTTGCCTGCCGGAGGAGCTCACCAATGGTACTTTGTCCAGTTCTTTCAAGGATATGTGAGCTCCTCACACAATCCAGCCTGGTTAAACCCAGGATGGATCGTAGGCAGGCTAGCCTAAATGTTTCTAACCGGCGAAGATGTTCCATTAGGGGGTCCACATTTCGCAAGCGTAGAGAAGGGAGGGAATGACCGTGGCCGAGAAGACCTAAAGCTTCGTGTGGAGCGACAGATCAGGTAGCTTCCACACAGCGTTACGCAAACCAATGAAAAGATAATGCCACTCTACTAATTCGGAGTGAGACCTCTGCTGTCAAACCGGAGCCGGTCATGAGAACACTGCCCAGGTATGGGTAACTCTCCACTCTCTCCACGTGCCTTATCACCAATTGGGAGTTGTGGGGGTGGAGTGTCCGATGGTACAAAATACCCAGGCAGGTGCTTAGTTTTAGTGTGGCTGATGGTCAGTCCCCACCTCTTAGTGGCAAGCTCCAGGTTCAGCAGCACCGCCTCCAACTCCTCCTCTGAGTGAGCAGCAATTACCAGATCATCGACATACATAACATGGTTGAGCAATAGGGCGCTATCCCTTGACCACACCCGGGCATTGATCGGCCTCCCATTGTATCTGTACGAGATGAAAATTCCTCCAATACAGCTATTGAAGGCTTCACGAACTACGTGGTCGAAATAGGTGTTGAATAATGTGGGAGCCAGAGGATACCCCTGTCGCACCCCAAAGTGAACAGGGAATGGCTCCAACTCTCGGCCACATAGTTTTACCCGGGCCCGCTCACCATCATGAAGGTCCTTAATGATCGTGAGCAGTGGGTCAGGGACTCCAAAAGCACGAAGAACAAACCAGAGCCCAGGCCTACTGATGGTATTATAGGCCTTGGCCAGGTCAATAAAGCAGAGATGTAGGTCTTGTTGGAATTCCCTACATCTCTTCTGTAGCAGACGGACAGAAAATATGGCATCTGTGCAGGACCGCCCTTTCCTGAAACTGCAATGGGGCTCCGCAAGCCTCTCCTCAGCGTGCCTGACAAGGCAATGTTGAATAATCCGGACACACACATGGACACACATGGACACACGTGCACACTTGCTTAAATATTGAAGTTTGGTGTGCAGTGTAAACATTGATAAGCCAGTTAAAATATTGACATTCCAATGAAATGTGAAATCTTAAAAAAAAATATATCTGTTAATTAAGGTGTGTGCATGTATGTACACTGCCTATTTATACTGCATTAGCTTATTGCTCATTGCCAGTCGCTGCTTTGTGGCAATTTGCCAACGTTTATTTGCATAGTGTATGTGCGTTGCGTGTGCATCGACGACCAGTCCTGGGATCTGTTGCGTAATAGGTTGAGTGCATGGTGTTCTGCGCGTGCCCCGTGCGCGTGCCCCGTGTGCGTGCCCGTGCATGCCCGTGCGCGCGTCCCCTGGCGTGGTGTTCCCACATCCGCGCGTCGCCTGGGCAGGTGGCTCGAGCACGGAGAAGCTGCCGATGCCGAGCCCAAGGCTTAGTCCGGCCCCGAGCCCGGGTCCTCCGGCCTCCCCGCAGGACTGGCAGAAGCAGGGCGGCCACGCGGACGAGAGCTGCCAGTCAGGTATCCCCCCCACTGGTTCATTGTCTGCACGGACAACACCGGGTTCCCACTCGTGGCGGTGGTGTTGGTGGGGGGTTGTTTGACCGTACTTTACTGCGCTGGTTTTGTGTGGGTGGTTGAAGGACCGGGGTGGAGGGGTATTAGGATCCTTAAGATAATTCTCATCACCAATGTTAGCAGTGGCCAGGAATCAAACTCAGGTGCTTGGGTAGCACAGTGTGTTACTTCATATGCCACTGAGCACATTGTTAATTTTGGCAGCTGCCTGACTATGCTGCTGTAACCACAAGCGAAACATCACGCCCAATTGTCAAATGTTCTGGATTGCTCTTCAGCGCACCGATGTGCTGCTTAAGTGGGTAATGAATTGGCACATTTGTTCACGTGGCATCGTCATGAACGCTTTTCCGTTCCGATGATGTACGTGTACGCCATCAGTTTTTCTTCTGCACGGAACCGGAAGAAAAAATGAAATAAAATAACTTTAATACTGAGGCTTCCGCAAGGCCACGCGGGAGGGCGTGTGGCACAGTTTGGCGCCAGCTATCATATCGTGCCGTTGTCGCTACGGTTCTCTGCAGTGAGTACAAAGTCTTTAAAGACAATGGCGCTACACTTCTCTAAATAAAATTTTACGCTGAACTGCTGGAGCGTTCCGAGATTCATCGGTGAGCTAGACACCCACCTGCAACTTGCAGACATCTCAGAACGGGAAGGAGTTAACTGGCCATGTCGGTTGGAGGCGGGTGTACAACACACATTTTGCGTGCACAAATTCGACCCAAAAATATATTGTGAAACATTGTTATTTGATTGCATATTGATCCACAATTGTATCTCAGCTGGCAATACACTCATGTGCATCACGGGGATAATTTTCCAAGGTTAACGGTGGCTGAGTGGTTCAGGGGTCAAAGCACTGAGCTGGTACCGGTGGGATCCTGGATTAAAATCCAGATTTCAGCCACTGCCCATCATTTACCCGGATTCTCAAGTGTAGTGAGTTGTTTGTCCCAACCTCGTCACACACGACTGCACAATAACAACCCCGTCAAACTTAATTTGGTGTCAGCACTTTTGTTGGTGGATACCAGCGTCTGAGAATTAAAATGTTTTTGTTTCATTGGCATGCGATGAGCGTTTATTCCTGGGTATGTAAAATATGTACGCCCGAGTGTGGATGTTGAATCGACTTCAGAAGTAGCTCCGTTAAAATATGTACGCCCGAGTGTGGATGTTGAATCGACTTCAGAAGTAGCTCCGTTACATCACCTTCCTGGGACATTCTCTCATACAGAATCGTTAACTTGCAGTTGCAAGAGTTCCATTAATTAAAATGTTTTAATCTCATGACACGATGCTAAGCTCTTGTGGCTCACTGATTTATACCTCAGTCTTGGCAGGGAGTGATACTCTGGACCGTTTGGCTCGTACGCGGATATCTATCAATCAGATATTTAATTGTCAATGGAAAGTCCCATTTTGCCAGTTACCCAGCGAGTTTGCACGGGAGGTCCGTGATGCATTAGAAGGGAATGAAGAGCAACAACATCAGAGGAACAAGGCAACAACGGAACGGATATAAATCAACGCATAAGTCCATTTTGACTCGCCATTTTGACCCATTACTATTAGCAGTGTAATGGCTGACGCGTAAAACAGAGATAGACAAACGAGTGACACTGGGAAGACGGGGGCGGTTCAGTTTTGCTGGCCGTGGCACTCACTGTTGGCCTTGGTTAAGGGCGGCTGAGCTTGTTCACACCCATTCCCCCCCGAGTGCTGTAGTGCGGCTGTACAATGGAACCATTTCTTTTGCTGCTCTCAGTCAAGGATTGGGTTTCATCCATTTGCTTTGTTTCGTGCCCTGGGCCGTTGAACACTCACGTATATAGCCCATGACCAGGTACTGTAGTCGCTGTTCTTCGCTGCCAGTGTCATGGATTATTGCTCAAATACAATGCTGCCTTCTCTTGAGGCCTGCCCGAAGAGTCGCGCGTGCCGTCTGAAGGCACTTGGGCTCCGCGGTCTGTTATGATTAGACCCAAATAAATGCATGCTCCTTGAGTGGTGGAGCAGATATTATTTTTGTTTACTCAGAAAAGTCAAACTGAGTCTCTTGCCTCTTTTTCAGGAGGGTCCTGTCAAGTTTTCACAGAAGGGGGCCATGACTGCAGTGTGTTATCCCAATTGAGTAATTTCTGGGTAATTTCCCGAAATTTGGAAAGTTTATTCTGTTACACTGGCACACAATGGCCTAACCCTTGCGAATGGCGGTTCAAATATTTTTCAGCAATGTTGGCCATGAGTGGAAATCGAAGTCGAGTTCGTAGTACAGTGCGCTAACCACTACACAAAGAGCCCCAGTATAGCCTTCGACAGGCTGTTGGGGCAAGTGCTGTAAGAGAGCACCTGTGAAGGCCAGAACAGCACCACACAACCGCCTTCAAACACATTGAGTAGATAGGCATGTAAGTGGTGAGTACAAGTTATTGAAACTTTAGTTTGAAAACACTCATTGTGCAATCCAACACCCGCAAGGAAAACTAAACTAAGCTATTTTATATTTTACCAGGTAAGGACCACTGTGCTATATAGCTCTTTTTCAGAAGCGACCTGGCCACAAATGATAACTAAATGAAGTGGCTTGTGTGGAAATTTAAAGCAGCAATATACTCTAAATGGCATGTTGCTTCTAAATGTGGAGGAAAAAAACCAGAGGACCCAGATAAAAATCCACACGACCACGGGAGGAATATTCAAACTCCAAATATACAGGCAATAGGGTCAGGATCGAACCAACAACCTTCTGTATACCAGTAGAGGTAGATAACATCTCGCCACCATGGCATCCCCCAACGCCACCGTTCAACATCCGCCCGCCACAGCATTCTGGCACCAAACATTTACCTGTTTCCACTGGGCATGTAATAGGTTAATCAAATTAATTCACGTCAATTCTAACACTCGCAAGTGAGTGCAGCGAATCGCAAGTGGAAGATTTTATCATTTACATTTCATGTGAACGGAACAGTCGCGTATTGGGGGAAGCAGTGGTTAAGTGGTTTGGCCTCTGTGCTAAGGAACACGAATTTCAATTGCTGGCCATGGCTAACATTTGTGATAACCCCCTACCCCCTTCACCATCCCACACTGACCATCAAGGTGAAGCATGAACAAACAACCACCATGACCAACAATAAAATGGGGAGGCCTTCATCCAGCAGTGGAAATTTATAGCAGCCAAGTACTGTAAATGCTTGTTTCTAAATGCGGAGGGAACAACCGGAGGACCTGAAAAAATCCATGTGACCATGGGGAGGAGACATGCAAACTCAAAATATACAGGCATCGTCAGAGTCGGGATCAAACCCCCCATGACCTCTTGTATACCAGGAGAGGGAGTTAACATCTCGGCACCGCGAAACTTTTAAAACTCTGTCTCTTCTTTCACTGCATATCATTTATGACTAGTGCGGTTACCATTGTTGCTGACGTAATTGCCTTTTCTTCGTCTAAAAATACCGGGCGTAATGGCGTTTGACCTTTCATTGAAATATTTGGCATTTCTCTCGCACTGTTTCATTCGACCAAAAATATTGAGTCTCTAACCACGGGGACTCTCAAGTCTCGATACAACGTGTGTCGCCAATGTCATGGGGGGCATGTGGAGGTTTAGAGAGATGAGACTCGATACAATCATAATGCTAACAAGTGTGTGTATGCACGTGTGCAGTCTCACTGACCCAGCTTAAACGGCTGTCTAATTTTAACGATTTAATATGGGGTGGATAGTTTTTGGATGGGTGACCACCATGCATGACAGGCTCCAGGGCTTTGTAGTGGGCGGCGGAGGGCGGCAATGCTTTAAGGTCATTGCTGTGCCATATCCGTGTGCTCCCACATACCCTCCCACATTAATCAGGATCGAACCCACAACCTTCTGTATACCAGGAGAGGTAGATAACATCTCGCCACCATGGCATCCCCCAACGCCACCGTTCAACCTCCGCCTGCCACGGCATTCTGGCACCAAACATTTACCTGTTTCCACTGGGCATGTAATAGATAAATCAAAATTAATTCACGTCAATTCTAACACTCGCAAGAGTTCAGCGAATCGCAAGTGAGTGCAGCGAATCGCAAGTGGAAGATTTTATCATTTACCTTTCATGTGAACGGAACAGTCGCGTATTGGGGGAAGCAGTGGTTAAGTGGTTTGGCCTCTGTGCTAAGGAACACGAATTTCAATTGCTGGCCATGGCTAACATTTGTGATAACCCCCTACCCCCTTCACCATCCCACACTGACCATCAAGGTGAAGCATGAACAAACAACCACCATGACCAACAATAAAATGGGGAGGCCTTCATCCAGCAGTGGAAATTTATAGCAGCCAAGTACTGTAAATGCTTGTTTCTAAATGCGGAGGGAACAACCGGAGGACCTGAAAAAAATCCATGTGACCATGGGGGAGGAGACATGCAAACTCAAAATATACAGGCATCGTCAGTCAGGATCGAACCCATGGCCTCTTGTATACCAGGAGAGGGAGTTAACATCTCGGCACCGCGAAACTTTTAAAACTCTGTCTCTTCTTTCACTGCATATCATTTATGACTAGTGCGGTTACCAGTGTTGCTGACGTAATTGCCTTTTCTTCATCTAAAAATACCGGGCATAATGGCGTTTGACCTTTCATTGAAATATTTGGCATTTCTCTCGCACTGTTTCATTCGACCAAAAACATTGAGTCTCTAACCATGGGGACTCTCAAGTCTCGATACAACGTGTGTCGCCAATGCCATGGGGGGCGTGTGGAGGTTTAGAGAGATGAGACTCGATAAAATCATAATGCTAACAAGTGTGTGTATGCACGTGTGTAGTCTCACTGACCCAGCTTAAACGGCTGTCTAATTATAACGATTTAATATGGGGTGGATAGTACTTGGATGGGTGACCACCATGCATGACAGGCTCCAGGGCTTCGTAGTGGGCAGCGGAGGGCGGCAATGCTTTAAGTCCATTGCTGTGCCATATCCGTGTGCTCCCACATATATGCTCACCACCTTCACCAACCCACACTAACCACTCCAAAGAAGTACAATCCAATCACGCCCATGACCCGCGCATTTCAGGGAGGCCCTCATCCAAACAGTGGCTTGACAACTGGCTGCGCGTGTACAACTATGGATGAGAACTACAACGGGAGTGGCATCGTATTCCGTGATGGACACGTGAAACGTTGTGCAGCTTGTGCCGCAGTTTGTTTATGAAATGCGCACCACCTCTCGTGTGAGCACAGACGCGCACGTGGCAGCCGTGAAAGCGGCGCTGGCGAAGCAGGGAGAGGCGCAGCTCATTCTGCCCATGCCCTCCAAGCGGCCGGCTGCTGCCCCGGGGCATTACAGATCGGAGATGCCCCAGCAAGGTACGTCAGTCAACCCCCCAAGCATGGTACCGACGATGTAATGTCCTGCCTTAGCAAAATGCGAACTGGAAGAAAGTTAAACAAGGTTAGCTGGCTTGATAGGGCAGGACGCTTCGCTGCAAAGGATGGCGGTTCGGTGGGCGAGACTGGTGATGGAATGGCAGCCAAAGGAGTGAAACGTGCCCGAGAGAGGACGTCCACCCGCGGTATTTGGAGCGGTGAGATCAGCTCGCGTGCAGGAGTGAGACGGATTGTGGCATCGCAGGACCTTGAGAGATGGTGGACGGTGTTAGGAGGTCTTCATTTAGCAGTGGATAGACCATGGATGATGATGATGATAATGATGGTGAAGAATCTCCAGACTTGCAAAACAACACTTTAAAAGTGACGTGTTAGCGAACGCAACCGCACCGTTTATATTGCCGCTATTGCACGTTCCCGGTGCGCACCAATGCATGAGAACGCAGCCAGGCCCTTCTCTGATCCCACCGGACCCACAATCCTTCCAGAAAATCATATTTAATTCCAAGAATGGAATTGCGATTCCCAGGCTGGGAATTATGACGATCTCACAGCTCTGCTGCCCCCAACATTTGTTGCTTTTCAGGAAGTAGGAACCCTAAAAGTGTTGAATCACACACTCGCCACGCTCCTTGCTTGGATCAGTGCCCGTTAGTTAAATCCACACGCATTTGCCAGGATTTTATTTTTTCTGAATGTAGCCGTCCTCCCTTGGTGGACGCTGACCGTTTCTGAGAGGTGATTCATGTGGGAGGGTATGAAAGCAGAGGGGGCAGTAAGGGATAGCATATTTTATGAAGTAGGAGCACATTTGAACCATGCTGTTATAAAATTTACATTTTACTGTGACACATCTTTACTTGAATCTCTCCATAGAGGCGTGTGCCATTTGTAATAAAAAAACACCTGGCATTTAAGACATTCAACCTGTTAACGATTTATGATTTGAAATGCTGACTATTGAGTGTCAACAAAAAACATTGAGTTAATATTTACCCAGGAAAGCCTCAATGAGTTTCCATTCTTTTTTTGTTCAGCAGTGTGTTTTCTTTTGAATATCCGGTCACTAGGGGAGGAAATTAGAGCACCTCGGGAAAACATGATAATGTCAGTGAATAGAAAGTCACATTTTGAAACCACGATGATGGTGGTGGTGGTGCCTGTTTTCAGGATGAGCCATTTAGTGCCCACTACTTTGCTTGAAATATTTTGAGGTTAGGCCACAGTTCATTATTCCCCAAACGATGTCAGTATATAAATAATTAATAATACACTTTATTTATTTAGGAAATCCTTATTTGAGTATAAGGACATTTGCAGGAAGGCCCTGTATTGGGATGTGTTTGATCAGTGTCCATTGATGAGCGCTTGGTCTGGGAGGAAACTGGACCACTCGGAACAAGAAACAAACTCATCAGGAAACGAAATATTAATCATTGACAGATTCAATGATGATTTGCAGTATTGCTGTCCCTTGGCCACATCACAGCCCTAGCCTACGATACCCGATACTCTCAGGCAGTCTTCCAATGCACGTTTTAACCATTTTCTCAACCCTGCCTAGCAAGACACGACGACCTTGGGGGAGTAATTAAGTGTGGTTTGTCGTAGGCGAAAGTCGTTTTGATCTGTCCCACTGCTTTTGCTGGATCGCTGTCGCTCGTTCCTCTCAGGGCCCTTGCAGAGTCCTGCCGGTCACACACGCATTGGCGTCAACGTTCTGGCAGACTTCAAGTCGCCCTCACTCCCAGGTAACGTTCCCAGCATTTGTTTGCGCTGCGTCGTGAAATCTTAACGCTCGATGACCCGACTCCTCTTTTGTCCCCTTCCTTTGCTTATGATGAAGCCACTTGATAGACATAGCATAGTACTTGACTAATTTATGGGTCCGTGTCCTGTTCAATTCTTTACAATAATAATGATCAGTCTACTGCTGGATAAAGGCCTTCGCATGCTGAGTTTGTCATGGGAGTTCTTTGTCCATACTTCACCATGCTGGTCAGTGCAACTGGTCCAGGATCGGTTAAGAATATGCTCCGTTAATGTCAGCGGTGGCCTGGAAGTGAACTCCGGTTCGCAGGTTTGTAGTGCAGTGCCCGACATCACTGCACCACTGACCTTTCCCAATTGTCTCTAAATACACCAATCATGAACAAAATAGAGGAGTGTTCCTTTTCCCAAGTCCAGCGAATAACAATGCGGAATGTTTTCATAAAAATTTCCGTTGCAATATGGTTTGGATTTATGTAGCATCTACAGGCAACCACATCTCAAGACTGTACAAAAGCAGTGTAACATGTGCGGGGAACAAGTAGGAATATATATATAAACTTAACGTATACATAGTATTTTGTAAGCGATGACACGGTCATCGGCAGGGGAGAAGATTAAAGGCTTGAGCCTGAACAGGTGAAGTGAGTTGATAATAAAAAAATGAAGTCTCCATTCCATTGCTCCTCCCCCACAAATGCATTTGAAGCACACGGATGGGCGCAAAATTATTCTCTGCCTCTGAATTTTCCAAGTGCCCGGCGTCTGTTTGTCACCAGATTGGCGCTTTACGCACCCACCCCCAAATCAATTTCCTAATCGGATCCGAGGTGTACAGTGTTTCGCTTAGCCTGCTTGCTATATGTAACCTCAATTGACGCCCGTCAGCACAGCGAACCGTGTAAACACTGCTCTCGGGTTAAAGATTCTAATGCGCCAGCTTTAGGAGGCATCGATGCTCTCAATGCAGGCGAGATTAGCGGCAGCCTGATGTGCTCCGTACGTGCACTTGCGTGTGTGTTGAATGTGCGTGCCGCACCTGCTGTAAGCGGGCGCGTGCATGCAAATGTACATACGTGCGTGTAGTGTAGCGCATGGCACGCTGCGCTACGAACCTGGCCACCCGAGTTCGATTTCCGCTCATGGCAAACACCAGTGACAATTATCTGGACTGGTCCTGGGCCTCCTCTAGGTCGACTCTGCCTGTGGAGACAAAAACGGTTGGGCGTGGTGCCTGCCACCCACCCCGTCGTGTGCCGTGCTGGTTTTCATAGGTGCTGCTCCCTAACATCACTTCCCCCCAAAGTCTGTTAAGGCTATACAGGGGTCTTTGTTATAAACAAGTGTAATGGATGTGTTATTACCTATTAAGTTCAACGTGGCACACGAGGGGGTAGTGTGGTCATCGCTACGCCCAGACCGCCTTTCTTTGCGAGTTTGTTGACACACCACACCAGGTACGTTCTGGGCGAGTCTTCTATTTGAGGCTGTGTGCATTTGTGGCTGTAGGTTTATGTGTTCCATGGCCATTGTAAACTTTGTCCTTGACCACTAATCAAGGTACAGCACAGCTTTTACTTCACGGTAAACCATAGGTACGTATTGATGCGCGTATTGATCGACACGCTCAGCGATGCGAACATTAGATTCTGGGAGTGAGAACGTGTTCGCTACTCTGCGGCCGTCCGCTCGTCACTTCGTTCATCTTAACAATGAGCCATTCCCCTCAGGGTCTCGGTTCTTGATGCTGCAAATGATATCGCTCATGTTACACTTAGGCGAAATGGAGGGGGTAAAACTTTATGAAAGATACGGAACATTCGGGACAAAAAATGCAAGCGAGGTGAAAAATGTAACGATCGTTCAATGTAATTGCAACCGTTGATTTATTATTAAATGTTTAAAATGTATCATTTATATAACAAGCATCTCACTGTTGCCATACTCATTGTAATATACAGCGAGCCTATCTGCATTGGGCATCTGTGTGCACAAACACGTGGTTAATTGGAGTAAATAAGAAAATATGTTACGGTCATTGGCAGGTAATTGAATGAGACTTCCAATTACCCGCCTCAATAACTCTAATTGCCTGCGATTTGGTTCTCTTCCAATTATCCGTGAAATTTGTGTAACTACGATAGCCTCCTCCTGACTTTAGCAACATTATTGGTGTCACTGTGCTCTTGTATACACCAGTTGCGTTTGTTTTTAAGTGTGTCTCTGGGGGGAAAGGCATTTGTGGGATATGACTGATACGACTGAATCCCAGTGACACAGGTTCGATTCGTGGTTGGCATATTAAATATAGTTATCTGAACCTGGCCTGAGTCTTATGCGTTTCATATAAACCCATCTATTCGTGGAAATAATCATGGTGTGTTACCTGCGTTTAGCACTGAATGTACATCTCGATGTACGTCTGAGATTTGGTGGTGTCCTGCGGTTTATCAATAATCCGGATTTATCTGCTCGCCTCCAGACTGCTGTGGTCAGGTCTCAATTAATCCGGATCAGTCCCCAATTATATACACATGGGATGACATTGTTAGTTTTTTACAACCAGAAATAACTTCAAAAATGTTCCTTGCTTTTTTTGTTGCTTCATCATTTATCGATTAGTTAAAAATGCCTGTCCGAAGACAGGAAATGTCAACCATAATAGAGTTTTTTGGGTTAAATCGCGTAAATAACAATGTGTCGTTAAACCGGCCACCACCCCACACAGCCCAGTTAGCATGGTTTGTCACGTAAACAAACCATGCTAATTTGTTACTAGTTCAGCGCACCGGTGTGTTGGAGAGTAACCCCACAACATTTACAATTCGAATACGATGTTTTGCCAGTAATTACAACTATAATCATTAGGCGGACAGCCAGAGTTGTGGAGAAATCCTTCTCTTAAATAGAGGGACAAATGCGATGTCGTGACTTGTGAGCCAATCAGATGCGAATCTAACCCAAAAACCTCTTATGGATAACCATGGTTGCGAAAGCCTACGTGTTTAACAGGAAATGTCAGCGAGAGTGGACATTAATTCATTAAAGAAGAAATATGCATCTGCCAAATGACTTAAAAGTCCGGAGCAACCCTAAAGGGCTGCGTTGAATTTGGAGAAGTTGATTAACTGCATTTCAAGTAGAGCTTGCAACTCTTTGCCTCCCACTCCTTCCCCCCAGAAAATCAATTGATTGTTGTGGCTCACGGTCATCGTTGGTTTCAAGAACCGTTTCTTTTACATTACGGCAAGTGTGGTTTCCACTAATGGCCACAGCGATCACGTGAACCCATATTATTATTTGTACGAATATGCGCTCACGTAGACTCTTACGCAATGTTCAAAGCAAGCATTGTGAGCTACAGAGAATTGACTGGAAATACAGTGATGCATTGTTACATCTTTAATCTCGAGACGTCTTCGAGGACAGTGCCATTCACAACTCGGAATCTACTTACATAATCTCCTTCATCGGCTCTGGGTTTTCTTGTGCCAGCTTATGCATTCCCGGTTTATACATTCTTGCGATGGTTTTTTAAATTTCTCTAAGGGCTAAGGTTAGCCAAACAGGTTCATTGTCCTTTAACTTTGCGCAAGCCATCCTGGTTAAAAATAAACCACACCAGTCAGCTATTGCTCGTCTATATATGAGCAGAAACTTGCATGCACATAAAGAGACTAGGAGGTGACACTTTCCTCTGCAGCCTTTTAGGACACTTGGGGTCGGTTGCTGTCAATGAGCACCTGTTGATGCCGAGGCAGCGCACGCAGGGGTGGTGTGGTTAACACAATGCGTGGCCACCTTTGTTTCCCCAGTGCTGATGTTTACACACACCGCACCAGAGGTACTCACTGAAGGGTCTAACAACTTTGGGGACGCTCAGGACCAGTTCTGATATCACTTTCCACTTATTTTAGCCGTGGCTGGGAATTTAACTCGCATTACCATGTCTGTAATACATTGTGGTAACACTGCACCAACACTCCCCAAACGCAAAGTTCCCCCAACATGGCCTTTTGCAGACTGTTGATAAAAGTGCTGTTAGCGATGCAATAAACAACCGTTACAATATCTGCCAATTACCGCTAATTGATGGTGATGACACCTCATCGTCTGTGTGAGGCTAGGTATACTTGGAGGCAAGGTGAAGGATCGAAGGCTCGCTTGCAGTCGGTCACGTACAGAACCAGGTGTTATGTGGTTAACTGACTCAGACGACCGACAGATGGCACCAACGCCTGCACTGCCCACTGTGTCACACAGACGCGCACACGTTAAATACACGACCGGTGTACTTCTGCGTGTGTATCGTTGTTGCAGAGAGCCCCTCCCCGCAGCCTGACATCACCATCAACCCCCCACGCACATTTCACATCGAGAGGCCGCAGGTGGTTCCTTTCCGAGAGCAGCAGAAGATTCAGAGTGAAGAGCGGACCGAGTCCGGGAACGGTGAGTGCTAGAGGACATCTTCCACGCCCGTTTTACCTTCACCGTCACGCTAGATTTACGCATCGTCAGTTGTGACCAAGCCACAATCGTCGAGTCGTTCCTTGGGAGACCGGTAGACCCGGAGACCCGTTGTTGATCGACGTTCAATCGCCAGGTTGATGACGGCATTTCATTGGAATTTCACACGTAACAGAGTGGGCCGCGTTGAAGGCTGCCATCTTCCAGTTCGCGATCATTAACAAGAGAGAGCATTTTGGGTTTGCTTATCACAGGTGTCCACCTGGGATCCAAGTTGAGAATCAGAGTGGTTGCTGGCTCATTGCTATGATGCAGGCAGCAAGCACCCCTTTAATTACCCCCCTGCCTCTGATTTACTTAATTTCAGTGTTTTTAATTGAACTGGCGTCAACGATACTGCCAAAGTCGCTATACGTCACGACCACTTTAGGGGCTTCTCTGATTACTGGAATAAAGGTGGAGCCATTGATGTGTTCGGTCAGCAAAAAATGGAAAATGAATGCCTGTTGAAGATGAATATAACATGTACATAAACATATATGGAACTCGTTTATTTAACATGTTTTCACAAATATGTGGCATGGTTTTTTTTGTACGCATCCATAACCTCCTACTTGTGGACATATAATGTATATTTACACCATGCGTACATGCGTGTACACATGTATGATTCACGCACGTACAGATACATTCACTGGCACATTGTCTGTGCATACAGAGACTCAATCCACTGCTGGATGAGGGCCTTCCAATGCCATGCAGATCACAGGTTTTTTGGCCATACTTTACCATGCTGGTTGGTTTGGGTTGGTGAAAGTGGGGAGCATATATGGATCAAAGTACAACCATTGATTTTGCTGCACTGCCCTCTGTTGAGAACATAGCGCCACAGCAGCCTACAATACCTGTGTTATGCATAATTATTGCCCATCCAAGCCCTCATTCATCCTCAACCCTGCTTAGCGTCAACGATCTGAAGAGATCGGGTGCGTTCCCAGTGATTTGGTCAAATGCACCTGCGCATACAACCACGCTTATGTCCTGTACGTTAATGGCATACGCAAATATTAGTTATTCGGACATCAACAGGAGATGTTTGGTTTGAGTCATACCTGGGCCCAGTGATGTTAATCTGGATCCTATTTCTCGCTGTTTTATGGTTCTACCTCCACAATAAACAATATCCTTCTTGCACAAAGGGAAGCAAATAGATTTTAACGAGACCGATTTTACCAAACTGCTCATGTAAGACGAGGTTAAAGCATTTTATTGTCTTAAAACGTGAACTGTTGCGCACCTGAAGGAGGTTTATATTGCTGTTCAATGTTTTAGTCAAAGCGTCTGCTCCTAAACGCATTTTTATAATTTTACTTGTAACTGGCTATGGTATTAATCTGCTTTCTATCAGGTTCAGTGTAGCACTGGTCTAAGAAATACCAGGGGAATTAAGTTGGTAAAAATATGTCAAATTTGGATTCAACACTCGGAATCGTCAATTTTTTCTAGGCTTGGGTTTAACTTTTTCCCCCCACAATTATTTGAGGTCCAAATGCAGATTTTGGATGATGATGTTACATTGCAATTTAGTACCCTACAAAACCTTGAGACAAAACCTTGAGGTGTAAAAAAAAAAATTGCCCTCAAATATTTGTGGGCCAAAATCGGTAATTTGGCTTTTCAGATTGTAGTAATAGAGGTATAAGTGTACACTCGACCATATTTGGGCCAAATTTCAACTTTCCAGCCCATTTTTAGGCACTTAAGTTTTTTTTTGTAACCATTAGCTTCATCAGTAACTCACTCACTCGTGGACTTTCAATCTATATGTAAAAGTTTACGGTGCAGGGCTGCAGTTACGAGCTCACACCACTGCCGGCACAAAGGCCTCCGCTAGAGGGTCCTCAAGAGGCCTTCCGCTGTAGAAGCTATTTGTCAGACTTCTTGGAAGAGGCGGGAGTACCGACACTTTACCCCCCACCGCACCGCGAGAACTCACTTTTGACTTGCCATATTTTTTGATTGATAGAGCATGCAGGTTATTTTTCAATTTAAGCTGACGTTTGTAATTCACCATGTGCCCCCCCCCCCCCCCCGGTGTCTTCTTACAGGAGCCGTGAGCAACAGCCACGTGTCGTCCAAAATCCAGCAGCTCCTCAACACGTTGAAACGACCCAAACGGGTGCCAGTCAAGGAGCTCTACACCGACGATGAGGACATGCTGGAAGGTATTGGCGTGGTCGGCGCTTCGTACCCAAATGCAGTGCGACTCCCCTTACCAGAGGGGGGGGGGACCGTACCTTACGTTGGCACCCTGGCATGGGAATTTCCGCTTTGGCGACGCCTGTGGCCCTGCGTAGACTTGTTTGGGCGAAGCTGCTCATACAGTGCTGCCTTTTGGCACCAGTGGGGGGGGGGGGGGATGCATGGCTGTGGTCGTGACAGCCGAATACGTTTAACATAATGCAGCTTGGTTTTTAACATAGCCCGACTGTCCAACCGCTAAGGCGTCCCCTCGACAGTGGCGCTAAAAATATTAGTTTTTTGTACTACATATGAAATGTTGCCAATATTTCAACTGCACGGTTCCAACTGCTGTCTAATTATGATTTATTACAGTTGATACCTTTATTGGCACTTAGTGGAAATGTTAGGTGGCTACGGGGTTTCCATGAACTTGCCAGGTTTCCATGCAGCTGTCTCTTGCATTCCTGTATACATATATAATGTAACCGGGATTGGCCCAACATCTCAGTGCTGAAAATTATATATACGAATCATTCAATCAGGATTACACACACAGCAACATCATCCTCGACTGCAAAAACTTGGCAAGACTCCTTCTGTAAAAAAAGTCTTGAGATTCACTGAGGCTTGCCTGGGTAAAAAAAAACCATAATAATGATATTATAATAACATAGTAATAGTCATAACATCCTCTCATCAGTCCACTGCTGGGTGAAGGCCTCCACATGTTATTGTTGGTCATGGTGGTTGTTTGTCCATGGGTAGGGGTTTATCATACTCTTTGGCTTTATTCGGTAAAGTCACGTAGATAAAATAAAACAAAATAAAACAATGAAATCACGACGTTTCGGAGGCAACACAAGCTTCCGTCTTCAGGTGGAAAAGTCAACGCAGATATTCTTGTTTTATTTTATCTACGTGACTTTACCGAATAAAACCAAAGCGTGTGAATCATTGCAGTCACGAAAGCTTCAAATCTAGAATTAGGGGTTTATCACTATTGTTAGCCATGGCCGGCATTCGAACTTCGTGTTCCTTAGCACAGAGGCCAAACCACTTAACCACTACTTCCCCCAGTACGTGTGACTGTGCTGTTCATTTGAAATGTAAATGATAAAATCTTACACTTGCGATTCGCTGCACTCACTTTCGATTCACGGAACTCTCTTGCGAGTGTTAGAATTTACCTGAATTAATTTGATTAATCTATTACATGCCCAGTGGAAAACATGTAAATGTTTGGTGCCAGAGAGCTGGGGGAATTGGGCGGAGGGTGAACGGTGGGGTTGGGGGTGCCATGGTGGCAATATGTTAACTACACAATGTTTGCTTATGACTTTACGCTATAGTTTAATTAGCATATGTATGTCCCAATGGGCTAGCCTGTCTGTGCTATGGAAGCTATTGCTGTTGCAATTATCCACAGATTGTTTCTAATATAGCTCTATCCATATCGCCGCGGTGGCGAGATGTTAACTACCTCGCCTGGTATACAGGAAGTTGTGGGTTCGATACCGACCCTGACGCCTGTATATTTCGAGTTTGGATTTTCTTCCCGTGGTTGTGTGGATTTTTCTCCGTGTCCTCTGCTATTCCCCTCCACATTTGAAAGCAACGCTTCTATATATTCCCATACGATAAGCCACTTCATTGTGTTATCATTTGTAGCCAGGTCCTTTCTGAAAAAGAGCTTGATAAAAACAAATATAGGGTTGGGTCGCACACCCAAGAGATGCTTAGTTCAAGCCCCCCCAGACTGTACTGTGTTAAATAAAAACAACAAACCTCACCCGCAAAGGGTCGCATCAGGGTTTACAGACTGTTGAACTCTTTAAGCTGGCTCACTGGCTTGCAATCGGCACCCGACTGTTATCTTGAGACCGCACCGTGCATCTGGCTGTGCGTCGCTTTGTTGGACATAGCAGAAAATATTAAATATTGCACGGGCGGGCTCGCTGGTGAGCTTGACCCCTCGTTCGGGAATTTTGGTTTCCTGTTTGCACGCGTACACAAGTGGAATGTGTTTCACAGCTCATTGCCCCAACCTGTGCTCATTCGGCGAGCCTGCACGCACCGCCGTGTGCAGATGTGGGCTGCGATTACAGAGTGGTGGTGCAGTTTACTTGGGGGGGAGGTTTATTGAGCTTGCTAAGCCAAAGCACCATCGCGTGCGCGCGCCTCTTTAGCCCTGCCAATGTTAACAGTCTCTGCATGCCTATTGCACCTCCCAACTTCAGCTGTGTGAAGTTTTTTTTTTAGCAGTGCCCACGTGAGATTCCGTCTCATAAGCAACAACTGCCAGGCACAAAAGCAAACCTCTACAGTGTGAGTCAGATCAGTCTTAAGTGAGCCTCGAGCGAATGCAGGAACATGTGGTTTCATTTTGTGGTGCCATTTTCTCCACGTGTTGAGATGGCCTAAAAAAAAATCTTTAGAAATTAATTTTAACTCGCTAATTAGTGCAATTTAATTGTTTCTCAAAATATCCTATCAGTTATTCAGCCAATTAATAAACAAGAAACCGACTTAAACGGAATTGCAGATAAGGAGGTGAAAGAATATGGCATGGAAATGAGGGAACCCATTCTTTCTGTCGTGTGCATGGTGTATGCTAAGCAGCATTTGGCCTGGATAGCGCTCGGATGGGTGGCCACGATGCACAAAAACAGCTGCTGCGGGCCTATGTTATAAGCAGAAGGCAGTGCAGAAAAATCCATTGTTGTACTGTACTAGGCTCTAACGTCTATGCACCGCGCCTTCTCAACTCACACTGACCGATGCCTTGAATTATAGTAAACCTCATGACTGGAACGGTGTGGGGACACCCTCATCCAACGGCGGAATGACAAAAGGGGCTGTACGTGGACACATGTACGACGCAATGCAACATGCCCAAGGAATTTAACCGATAAAGATGATGGTTGATATGACTGTTATAACTGCCCGTTTGGCACGTGCGTCTTTTTTTTGCCTTCGACGACCCAGTTCCGGTCCAGGACCCGAACCGACCCCGGCCGGAGGGTGCGGAGATGATCCCGGTGCAAGGAGAGCCGCTCGGGGTGGTGAGCAACTGGCCGTCGGCACTGGAGGCCGCTCTGCAACGTTGGGGGATCCAATCGGCCAAGGCACCTTGTCTCACCGCCCTCGACACCAACGGGAAAGTGCTCAACACGCTCGCATACGGTGCGTGAATTGCGGCGGTGGTAACGGTTCGCCCTCCCCCCCCCAAACCATCGCACCCCCCCCCACCGCCAACGGTTTGATATATATTTTGTACAGTAAAACCTTGGATTGTGAGCATAATTCGTTCCGGAAACGTGTTTGTAATCCAAAGCACTCGTATATCAGTTGTGATCACGTGACGCTCGGCAGACAAAGCGTGTCCGTACTACTCGTATTGCAAGACCCTCGCTCGTTTATCAAATTAATATTTATTTAAAAAATTTGCTCGTCTTGCAAAACACTCGCAGACCAAATTACTCGCAATCCAAGGTTTTACTGTATACAAGTTCAACATCTTTCGCACCGTACGTAACATTACCGTGCTAATTGAAGGTGCGGCGGCAAGACAACAAACTAACACACTGGACATTGGTTGCGATCCACGGGTGGACGCGGATCTCGGGACGAATCAGAACAAACACTGATGTCATTCGCAGACAGCAATTCTCATTATGGCTGATGTGTGGCAATTCGATTCAAGTATTGATGCTCTTCAAAGCTTTCCAACGAGCGTCGAAATTCGTTTATATACTATCTCTGTCTGTAATGGGGCGGGGGGCACGATAACTCGCATAAAGATGGAGTGATAATAACCAAACTCGTGTAAAGTTCACCTTCTTACCGTGTTCGGGTATTCCCACATGCGATAATTCGTCAACATTTGTTGCTTAATCCCCCCACCTTCCGCATGGTCTCCGTTGTATAAACTTGCACTGCTATTGGGGAGTCATGTGTGCGAATTGGCACGATTGTAGTGGGTACGCACAAATTCTGCAGTTTTTTTCTAAGCCATAGAAAATGTGATAGTGTGCTCAGTGTTTCTGTTGTTGTTGCTTTGATTACAGGAAAACTGTTCAGTAAAAGTCGTAAAATGGCCTTCACGCTCTTGAACAAGCTGGGCACCAAACAAGATCAACTCCTGAAGCCCGGTGACAGGGTGAGACGCTAGAACAGCTGGAGATGGTTTATCTTATATTTACACGTAACTGAAGGATCGACGGTGTCGCTGAGATCCAGTGACCAAGGCCACAGTATCAGTTGGGTATGCTACCGTAATGCTTCAACGTGAGAGATAAATCGAAGGTTGCCACATCCTCCTCCCTCGAGCGTTTCAACGACACCACGCCCAAAGCAGTTGTTAAGTGGATCACGATGCTCGATATTCAAGTTTGGCTTTCTGCAAAACAATCTAGCCGCCGGCCACCAGGAGAGGAGAAAGACTGGAGATGTTATTTTTATGAAGTGAGTGTGACATTCGAAGTAATCCTCAATTTTTATTCAAGCTCTCCGCTTGCATCCAATGTGAAGCGGGCGACGCCAGTCCAAATTTAACTGTGTTTGTGCAAAGTTGAATAGCATGGCCGTTATCCATTTGGGTTTTTTCTTTCTCTTTAGTGACTACCACTGGTCTCTTGTGCTGTGATTCATGCATTGTGTTTACAGCCGCCTCCCAATTTTAACCTGCCTGTGATTAGACAGAATACAGCACGAGGAGCTGATTATAACGATCATACTCCGTACGTGTGCCATCAGTCCTTTATTATGCTGCTACCAGATAAGTGCCTTTCAATGCTGTGTCGTAAGTGTTATTTGGCCGTAATTTACCATGGTGGTCAGTGCTGGTTGTTGAAGGTTGGAAGCATAGGTAACTCTTCTTCCGTATGGCATTTTTGGGGATTGCAACAGATTACAAATTGATGTCGAGTAGCCGCGTGGATTTGCTTCAGGTCGCCGTTGAGTGATCCGATTGGGGGCAGTCGTTCACGAGATGTTGCACAGTGTGAGATGTCGCACCACAGTCACAAACTGCACCGTGCCCCCCTGCTGCCCACAACATATCCCCCACAGCAACCTATTTCACCTGTTGAAGAGCACCATGAAGGGCATTTTCACATCCAGGCACTGTCATTGCCAAATCTGCTCCGCTTCTGAAATATGAACAGATTGGTGCATTAACGGGCAATTTGGTGAAAGGCAATTTGGTGAAAGGCAACATTCAAAATGCGTTTATACGAGGTGCGTATAAATACTCAAGTTGCTCATGAGTACGATACATTTTGTGGAAAGACATAACACGTCACTATCCGTAACTTTATTGAACGAACAAAACTTATTTTTAATAAGTAAAACGAAACCTAACGTGTGTGTGTGTGGAGAGCGGTCGTGTAGCGGTTAGCTACGTACCCGGTGACCCGAGTTCGATTCCTGCTCATGGCTAACACCAGTGACAATTATCTGAACTGGTCTTGGGCCTCCCATAGGTCAACTCAGTCTCAAATGAGTGCCTGGTGTGCTCTGTAGAGACAGAGGCGGTCGGGCGGAGTGGTGTCAGCCTTCATCGGTGCTAATCGTGAACAGCACTTGCCCCAACAGTCTGTTCAGGCTATATACGGGGGATCTCAGTCTTTGTCTTTGTGTGTCCGTGCAGGTCGCGCTCGTTTATCCCAACAGCGACCCCATCGCCTTCACGCTGGCGTTCTACGGCTGCCTCCTGGGCGGCCTGGTGCCCGTGCCCATTGAAGTGCCGCTCACAAACAAGGTAGAGCTCTCGTTACGATTAAAATTGAGGCCATTGTGTGTCTGTATGTTGAGCTTTCTTCCTCACCCAAACGTAGCTAACCGTCCCAATCGGAAGTGCGGGGAAAAATGCAAAGCTGTCACCAACTCTGGTAGGGGGCGATATTGCTACGTTCTTTTTATTCAATTAAAATATCTTGAGTTATTTTTTTGTTAATTGTCAAAGATGGACTGTGATGCCAGCATGCATGGCCTCCTCTCTTTAAAATAATGTCACAGGATCTTCAACAACTGCAATTTAGTGGATGGGGATTATTGAATGTTAATACACCCACAGTATTTACCATGGCAGTTATTTTTTATTACTATTTGCTATAAATATTTTACCAGGTAAGACCCACTGAGTTATATAGCGACTTGGCCGAAAATGATATCTCGAGGAAGTGGCTTATCATGTGGAAATTGATAGCAACCAAATACTCTTAAATGCATGTTTATAAATGTGGAGGGAAAAACCGGTGGACCGGAGAAAAAAACATGTGACCACTCTATATATACAGGGGTCAGGGTCGGGATCGAACCCACAACCTCCTGTATACCAGGCGGGGTCGTTAACATCTCGCCACCGCGGTGCCCCAAAGGTTCATGCTTCGAGCCCCACATCTTCGTGCCGATGGGCTCGAAGCATCAACCTTGGCAACAAGCGGCAAATACGCAACCACTTGGCGGCAAACACCTGACCGATTGGCCGTGTCAGAGCTGTCTGACGTACACATTGCTCAGGATCTATTTAGGTCATCATCCTACAAACCATTTTCATTTTACGTTTGTGTTCGCCAATAAATGACGCTTATTTTTTGTTTGCTCAGCCATATTTAGAGAGCAGTGATTGTAGAGTCCGCAGACTCGCCAGCCTGCTCGTTTCGCCCTGCTAAATGTCCGCTCAATCACTACAAAGTCACTTCTCATCCATGATCTCCTGCTGAATGGCATGATTGACATTCCCGTCTCGCTGAAACTTGGCACACAACATCTGAGCTCCACTCCCTCTCTGAAGCTGTCACGCCCCTGGCGAATACACATATTTCATTTATGATGTAGAGGTTTCTGGCACAATCTTTAACGTTCCGGGAAGGCTTTGATGAGCTGGTGTAACCCTTGATAATTGCCTGCATTTCAATTTTGCCAGGACACGGGCTGCCAACAGATCGGGTTTTTGCTGGGCACCTGCGGCGTGACCGTGGCTCTGACCAGCGAGCTGTGCCACAAGGGGCTTCCCAAAACTCCTGCTGGCGACATTTTCCAGTTCAAAGGTCAGTGCCAGTGCTTGTACCCCCCCCCCCTGCGCAATGAACTCACCCTGAGGAAGCTTGTTTGGGAGCTGACCCCATAAACGGTCATGATGTCACCTGGCCACTGATGTGTATAGCAGTCAACCACTAGACAATTACTCGCACATTGAAGGCCCACCCCCTCACTGATCGAAATCGGGGACTTTTGCTGGTGTTGCCTTTGCTGTCCTGGATGTCCCTGGGGCCCCATGGGTCCTGGTGGCTCGGTTTCATCGTCTTAAGGCTGTGCCACGGTGTTGATGTCTCTCCCCTCTCCCATGTTGGCCTGCCCCTGACCCCTCTTCTACCCTCATGTAGTTGTTTTCATAAAGCGTCCAGAGACGCTGCTATATGTAAAATGGAATAGTTTTTGTCGTTGCGATGTAAGGGGGGTGGGGGGGGGGGCTAGCCGTGTCGGCCCTCTCGGTCCGCGGCTCTCCCGCTCATTGCGGTCGCGCTTTTTCTGCCTGTGTATTCTCCCCCCCCCCTTGTCAGGCTGGCCCAAGCTGCACTGGTTCGTGACCGATTCTAAGAATCTCTCCAAGCCGTCCAAGGACTGGATGCCCCAGATGCGCGACGCCAATGAAGACGCTGCCTACATCGAGGTGCGCATGTCCTAACGGAGGACGGCGGTCGATGGGCTGCGGTCTCTCTGCGTCACCTCTTTGTGTTGCGTTATTGTCTTAATGGCTGGCAAATTAGCTGCTTTCTCATTTAATTTTGTTTTATGTTTCTACTTATCCTTTTTGCTATTTACGTGTAAGTCATCAGTTTTTTTCCGGAACGGAACCGGAGGAAAAAATAAAATAACCTTATCGGTACCGAGGCTTCCACAAGGCCAATGCGGGGGAGGGCTTGCGGCACAGTTTGGCGCCAGCTATGGAAGAGTGCGGTCGTGTCGCTACGGTTCTCTGTGCTGAGTACAACAACATCTTTAAAAATAATGGCACTATTCCTCTCTAAATAAAATTAACGCTCGCCACTTGCGCGTTCCGAGATTCAGCAATGAACGGCACCAACCCTGCAACTTGCAGACGCCTCGGAATGGGAAATGGTTAACATGCAATGCAGCTACTTCTGCGTTGGCTCAGAACGGCGTTTAAATGTGAATGCATCTCAGGCAGTTGTACAAGAGTGGGGGCGGGGGGGGGACACATTGGGAGGAGAAGTGATAAGATTAGTGACAAGGAAGATGGTGGAAAGAGTGGGGGGGATGTGGTGTGAGAGGTAATTGATGCAATGTGAGGAATAACCAGAGGATATAATAATAGGGTTTTTCCCCTTTTTTCTGGCAACAAAACTGAAACCTTTTTACAAGGATTCATGTCTGCATTAACCACAATACCTGCAGTCAGAATGCAAACAACAAACATACTATGATAATATATGCATTGTCCTTGAAACTGATTGGTCCACACCACGGGACGGCTTTCTTTTGAGCCTCGACCCAATTGGTGCTCGACCAGATGACGCTAAAAGGCGTACAGCTCAAAGACAATGCACTATCACGGGTCAAGGCTCAAAAGAAAGCCGTCCCTTGGTGTGGACCAATCAGTTTCAAGGACAATGCATATATTATCATAGTATGTTTGTTGTTTGCATTTTGACTGCAGGTATTGTGGTTAATGCAGACATGAATCCTTGTAAAAAGGTTTCAGTTTTGTTGCCAGAAAAATGGGGAAAAACCCTATTCTTATATTTTGGTACTGGCAAAGGAGGTCTAATGATGAACCAGAGGATACTTGAACAAGGGTATGGAGTGAGCAGTGTAATGGAGAAATGCACAAGAGGCCAATTCGAGTTTTTTGCAATTACCTACAGCCATATCTCAAGGTGTATCCGTTGTATTGCAACTGTGAGTGCCGAGAGAGTCTTTGGAGTGTCGTAAGATGCTAGTAAGTGTGCTGCTGTTACGCTACGCTACAAAATTCTTGCCAAGGAGCATAAACCATTACGTGAACTGCGGTCATCCTTGCAGCGGCTTTTGGCGAGCCATCGACCGTAAATGGTCACTGCATTGTGTGCTTTCAGATGCGCTTTTGCGGCCGTCTGGAATGCTCTTCCGATATTAGGAAGCCACTGGAGAAATGCACATTCAAATATAGATTGAAAACGTATTTCTTTAGAACCGATTTTCTGTTCCCCCGCACCTCCGATTAGCACGGTTGGCTACGTATGGTGCGAAAGTAGTTGAACGTACATACAGTGAGGGAAAAAAGTATTTGATCCCCTGCTGATTTTGTACGTTTGCCCACTGACAAAGAAATGATCAGTCTATCATTTTAATGGTAGGTTTATTTGAACAGTGAGAGACAGATTAACAACAAGAAAATCCAGAAAAACGCATGTCAAATTTTTAATAAATTGATTTGCATTTTAATGAGGGAAATAAGTATTTGACCCCCTCTCAATCAGAAATATTTCTAGCTCCCAGGTGTCTTTTATACAGGTAACGAGCTCAGATTAGGAGCACACTTAAAGGGAGTGCTCCTAATCTCAGCTTGTTACCTGTATAAAAGACACCTGTCCACAGAAGCAATCAATCAATCAGATTCCAAACTCTCCACCATGGCCAAGACCAAAGAGCTCTCCAAGGATGTCAGGGACAAGATTGTAGACCTACACAAGGCTGGAATGGGCTACAAGACCATTGCCAAGCAGCTTGGTGAGAAGGTGACAAGAAATTTTGATTTAAAGCTTTCGTGACTGCAGTAATTCATATTCTTAGTTCTTTCGGTAAAGTCACGTTGAAGGGAAACAATAAAATAATAAAATATATATAAAAACGTGACTTTACCGAAAGAACTAAGAATAAGGTGGCAAGAGTTGGTGCGATTATTCGCAAATGGAAGAAACACAAAAGGACTGTCAATCTCCCTCGGCCTGGGGCTCCATGCAAGATCTCACCTCGTGGAGTTGCAATGATCATGAGAACGGTGAGGAATCAGCCCAGAACTACACGGGAGGATCTTGTCAATGATCTCAAGGCAGCTGGGACCATAGTCACCAAGAAAACAATTGGTAACACACTACGCCGTGAAGGACTGAAAGCCTGCAGTGCCCGCAAGGTCCCCCTGCTCAAGAAAGCACATATACATGACCGTCTGAAGTTTGTCAATGAACATCTGAATGATTCAGAGGACAACTGGGTGAAAATGTTGTGGTCAGATGAGACCAAAATGGACCTCTTTTGCATCAACTCAACTCGCCGTGTTTGGAGGAGGAATGCTGCCTATGTGACCCCAAGAACACCATCCCCACCGTCAAACATGGAGGTGGAAACATGATGCTTTGGGGGTGTTTTTCTGCTAAGGGGACAGGACAACTTCACCGGGTCAAAGGGACGATGGACGGGGCCATGTACCATCAAATCTTGGGTGAGAACTTCCTTCCCTCAGCCAGGGCATTGAAAATTTTGTCGTGGATGGGTATTCCAGCATGACAATGACCCAAAACACACGGCCAAGGCAACAAAGGAGTGGCTCAAGAAGAAGCACATTAAGGTCCTGGAGTGACCTAGCCAGTCTCCAGACCTTAATCCCATAGAAAATCTGTGCAGGGAGCTGAAGGTTCGAGTTGCCAAACGTTAGCCTCAAAACCTTAATGACTTGGAGAAGATCTGCAAAGAGGAGTGGGACAAAATCCCTCTTGAGATGTGTGCAAACCTGGTGGCCAACTACAAGAAACGTCTGACCTCTGATTGCCAACAAGGGTTTTTCCACCAAGTACTAAGTCATGTTTTGCAGAGGGGTCAAATACTTATTTCCCTCATTAAAATGCAAATCAATTTATAACATTTTTGACATGCGTTTTTCTGGATTTTGTTGTTGTTATTTTGTCTCTCACTGTTCAAATAAATCTACCATTAAAATTATAAACTGATCATTTCTTTGTCAGTGGGCAAACGTACAAAATCAGCAGGGGATCAAACACTTTTTTCCCTCACTGTACATACAAACCACCTGGGTTCAATGCCTGGTCACGTACAACACCAGTGGCACTTTTATATAATTAACAAGACAGTTGCTGTGAGCAAGTTTAATTTATTTCAGTTAACAGTTTCTTGCCTGCAATTCTAGTGGTTGGCAGAGTTGCTTGCGGAAATGGAGGTTTGAACGGTAGGGTTTACACTACTATTTGACAGAGGACCCTATATTGGTAAACCAGTTACTGACAAATTTATAGGGCTGAAATCCTACTGGATTGTCATTAAATTTAATTTGGATGGTCATTTCCCCCTTAACCATTGGTAAATGTTATGCCAAGCTCTCCAGATAATCTGCGTTCCGGGTGCGTTCCGCGTAAAAATTATAAATTATGGATACAATTTTTAATCAACGCGTAACGAAGAGGCAAATAAAATTTTAACTGCATGACTCAAGTTCGCATAACAGATAAAGACTGACGCTAGCGCGGTCAAGGAATGGCCATATGATCCCCAGGGCCCATTAGGGGGCGTTTGGCAATGTGTACCACTGAACTACAGTGCATACTTTGAGCTGGTCTCTCGGTTATTGTCTCCTTTTACTCACATGGTGTGAAAATTGCCAAGTGTATATGCTAGTCTTCAGCCTCCTCATGGTATATTAGACGGTAATGGTGCAACTCTGCAATGACTTCCTCACCCCACTGCTGACGGATGGATCTTTGCGAGAGAGCGCTCTATTGAAACCCTCCAGTGGATATGATTATTATAATTAATATCTTTCTTATGCAGTGATCCTTATGTATATTCCACAGTGAGTAATTATCAGGTAATCTTTTAAACCTGGCCAAAAATAAATACGTTGGGAGAGACAACGGGGCGGCTGGGCGTACGATGCCTTGAGTAACGCGCGCGAACGCTTCCGCAGTACAAGACAAGCAAGGACGGCAGCGTGATGGGCGTCGCTGTGAGCCGGGTGGCAATGCTGGCGCACTGCCACGGCCTGACGCAGGCGTGCGGATACACCGAGGGTAGGACCCCACCCTCCAACCACGTCCGCACCTACATGAACGCCTGCGTGCCCCCGCGTGTGTTTGTGTGATTTATGTTCGGGTGGAGCTGTGATGCAGTGGTTGGCAGAGCTGCGCTGCGAAACTTGGCTTCCCGAGTTCGATTCCTGGTCATGAATGATAACAGTGGCGATGATCCGAACTGGTTCTGAGCCCTCACCTAGGCTGATTCGGTATCTCGTGCCGTGGGGAGACAAAGGGGGCCAGCTGTCGTACTGGCCACACATCACCCCGTCGTGCACTGTTCCAGGCAGTCGTAGGTGCTTACACTTGTTCCAACAGTTTATGTAGGCTATATGGGGGCTCTTTGTCAATGTCATTTATAATTTTCATCAGCTTATCGAGGAAAGCCACAGCTAGAATTGTGACTCAGCTTTCCTAATGGTCATGTATTACGATATTTATGCCCCCTCTTGAAATATTTGCGAAAGGCTGTTATGCAAATCTGCTTACATTATCTCTCAGTCCAGGATAACAGTTAACAACCACTCATCAAGACAATTACTACTCAACGGTGAACCTTTTTCTGAGCAGCGATACATGCCTCATGAATAAAATAAGGACCACCATCATCCCGGGCCCCATGATTATTTGCAATGCACTAACCAGGGTATGCTCAAAGCCCAGAGCCAGCTCCCAATTTTTTATCAAAGTGGAACTCCATAATAGAGGTTTTTTTTGGGGTCGATCACATTGACATAAATGTGTCTTTCAACCCACCACCACCCGACAGCCAATTGGAAAGGTTTTTTTGCGTAAACAAAACGTGCCAATTAGTTACTAGTTCAGCACACCGTTGTGTTGGAGAGTAAATGCACAACATTTATAATTCGAGTACGGCGTTTCGCTAGTGATTACAACCAGCTTCATCAGGCGATAGCCAAATTTCTGAAGAATTCCTCCTGTATCAGTCTTGGAGTGGAACTGGTTAACCTGCCGCTTGGCTGCGCACAGCTCTGTCACCCTTGCCCCCCTGTGTCTTGGTTGGCACGTGGCCAGGCTCGTGTGCCATCGGGGGGCAGGCTGGTGCGGTGTAAAGTGTGGTCCCCCCCCCCTTCTCGTGTTTCGCCCCGTGCAGGAGAAACTCTTGTCAATGTGTTGGACTTCAAGCGGGAGGCCGGGCTGTGGCACGGCATCCTCACGGTAAGGCTCGCGGTCGCAGCACGTGTGGGCTTGCCCCGTTTCGTTGCTCGCATTGAGGCTCACTCGTTCTGACTGAACGTCCAGACGGTCGCCTTATGTGCTCGTGTGGTGCCCGATAACAGTGTTGGGCACTGGGCTGCGGCTGCTCGCACTTGGTGCGAAGCGCTCGTTCGTTGTCGACGTCTTTGCCCATCCCTCCTTCTTTGCCGCTGTTTGGGCGCTGTACCTCTGATCGGCACCTCCGATTAGCACGGTTGGTTACGTACGGTGCGAAAGAAGTTCAACGTACATACATACCTACATATGTAAAAAAATAATGTTGGGATAGTGGGTATTACCTGCCCTTGTTTTGAGCAATGTGGCTTAACTGTAACTATTTGCCTGGCAGTAATCCAAAGCTGTAACCTCTAACCCTCATTCCAGCCATAATCCTAACCTTCATGCCAACCTCAACTATAATTGCTGTGCAAATTTCTGAATCCCATGGTATTTGGAGTGAATTTCATTGAACGGCAGTTGTGTTGTTCGTGCGAGGTAAGGCGGCATACAGACCACAGAGTTGAGAATATTTGTTAATAACATGGCAGGGGTGGCTCTTTGGCGCACGTAAAACCTCGTTTTACAGTCGTGGCTTTTGGCTCCTACAGCTTAGCGTCAATCCACAGAGAAGCCCCTTTTGTTGTTGCTGCTGCCAGAGCAGGGCACAGTTTTTGATGAGTGTTTGTTGTCCTCTGCCTCCTCCGCACCCCCCACGCAGGGCGTGATGAACATGATGCACATCGTGTGCGTGCCCTACACGCTCATGAAAGCCAACCCCCTGTCCTGGATACAGAAGATCCACGCCTTCAAGGGTTAGTTCACCTCTATTCGCTTTTTGCCATTTACCGCCGACAGCAGATTTCTTCGTCCCTGTTGGCAGTGGCGTGGAAGCTTGAGCTGTGGATACTCTTCTCCCGACTTCATTTGTCGTTGAAAGTCAAGTGCCTTGCTGCTCAAGCAAACATTTGGGGGTAGCGCTTATCTCCAGTAAGACCGTGAGCCAAGAGTGGAAAATTCAACATTCCCACACTGAGGGCCAGTATCTCCAACGGAAAAAAACACTGTTGACTTCCTGCAAACCGGTCTCCCTTCATTGACAACATTAAGATAGTTGGTTCACCCAACTGGGATTTGAACTCCTTAACTTAACGACTGAGATCTGCTTGCTCTGACCATGGCGCCACATGACTCAACCATCAGTTTCGTTATCATCATCACCATCATCAACCATGATCTGTCCGCTTCTGCACGAAGGCCTCACCAAGCAAGCTGAATAAGTGTTTAAAAAAAACGGAGGGGATTTACGTAGGGCCGAATTTCAACCCCTATCTGTCTGGATCAGTGACCCGGAAAAAAAATGTTGGCACTCGGCACACTGCATCCTCTATATCTCTCGCTATGGCTGTGGCTACTAATCACATGCCACCTCCCGGCCTACTACAGTCTACCAGTGGAAATGATTGTTAAGGCTGTACGGGTGATCTTTGTTTTTTTGTCTTTGCGTCTGCAGCAAAGTTGGCGTGCGTCAAGTCTCGGGACATGACCTGGGCTCTCATGGCCTTCAAGGAGCAGAAGGATCTAGCCCTTGGCTCTCTGAGGATGCTGGTGGTGACGGACGGCGCATACCCATGTAAGGGAGGCATGCACGTGGTGCCACCTGAGCATCGGTCCCTTTTTTAGATGTTCTCTCTCGATCCATTGTCAGGGAGGATTGGACCAAAGGTAGCCGTTGTGTGCGTGGAAATAAAAAATATTATTCACCCCTGTTCCACGATTCATTATTTTGATGCAGGGATATATAATTTTCTTCTAATCTTTATGGATGTGGCACCTGTAGTTGATGAAACATTTCCACTCACCTCATTTCATTTATATCAAGTTAAATTTCATTTATTAGGTATAGCCCTGTGAGCCATGCGGCTCTTGAGGCGGGTGCAACCGCAACAAACAAAATCACCTTCACACCTTCAGTGTTTCTGTGAACGAAGTGCACTTAGTAAAAAATGTGAATACTTTATTGTTATGCACGTTATTCAATACATGTACCATGAGTCTAAAATCACTTTTAACTGGGGGAAACCTTACAAACTTAGAAGATGTGTCTGGAGGAACGGTAGCGTAATTGTTTATGCCCTGTTATATAATAATAATGTTTCGTTTGATATTGTGGCATTCATGCATATTTCATCTCAAAAATCACTGAGCAACCACAGACAAGCTGGAAGGCAGCTATGCTGTGAGCAAACAATTGCCCAAGCTTTGGAGTCCTCTATATATCAAGCTGTTTTCTGCCAATTAGTGAGTGTTTATATGATCTAGGCCTTTTGTGTTTGGTGGCTGTTCATGGACATCAATAGCAAGTGGTGTCTATATCTGTACTAGGCCACTTCTAGGTTGACTTCGCATGATTTTATGTTATTATACTTGTTTAACCAGGAAAGTCTCATGATTGTTATTTACTATTGTCTTGCCAACTTGTCGCAGAAGGGGGCAATGATTGGTATGTGTATTCAAATGTTAATCAGGATTTTTTGACCATGCTTCACCATGCTGGTCTTGTATGGGTAAAAATGTTTGATTTATATGTTTAATTAACAGTGTGCCCCCCTATCTGGTATAGTTTGTTAGTTCTTTGAGGCAAGGCATTGAGAAAGGTTACAGAGTGGCAAAAATGGAGAGAGTGATGCAGAACACATAGTAAAACTGGCCTAAATATATCATACTGGTGCAGCCTTAACGTTCTGCACTCTAATCATAGCTATATATTTCCTTACGTCTTTGAGCAAGACATTCAAATAGTGTGGTACGCGCTGTGTTGTATGTATGTTGATCTTCTTTCGTGCTGTACGTAGCCAACCGTGTGAGACTGAATACCTCGTGGCATCGGGCTATGTGCGTATCACTACATTCCAGGGTCCGTGGCGACTTGTGAGGCTTTCGTGAAGACGTTCCAAGGCAGGGGCCTGCGACGTGAGGCCGTGTGCCCCTGTGCCTGCTCACCCGAGGCCCTCACTGTATCCATGCGCCGGTGAGCCGTGCCACTGCTGTCATTCCATGCCATAAATATCGGAACTATTTGATTGTCGCCACGACCGTTACCATTTATTGATATTTATGAATGTATAGTTACAGGCTGAGCGTTTGACAGGTCTCCCAGTTAGTTATTAAAGTTTTTAATTGGCCTGTTAACCGAGAGAGTGCATCGTCACCTTCGCGCCGATACGTTGCACTTCACCGGTATCACCACTCGCGTTGTCCGTTTGCCTCCATGATTTTACTTCTCTCAAAGCCAGAGCCACTGGGCTGTTCTTATTCACAATCTCAGCGTGTGGCGTTTGACCATGATGTGCAAAAGCAAGTGTATTACACATGCCTGCTTGAAACCACAATCACTAGGCTGCTATGATGCTTAATGCATTTCTACTTAACGTGTTCTCTGGTCAGGTGGAGTGACAGATGTATATATAATGTACAGTATATATGAAGTTGGCTAGAATGGTTATTTGAGCATTGATGGACTTGTGAGCTATGTGCATTGTCTTTTGATCGCATTCCAACCACGAACACTTTAGACTGCATGACCAGTGCTGCACTACAGTATGTCTGTATGTTGAACTCTTTTTGCACCGTACGTAGCTAACTGTGCTAATCAGAGTTGCAAGGGGATGGACAGCAAACTAATTAGAAAAAGCAGTTCTCAAGAAATACATTTTCATTCTAGATTTAAATGTGCATAGCTCCAGTGGCTTCCTAATATTGGAAGAGCGTTCCAGATGCCTGCAGAAGCGCATCTGAAAGCGTGCGGTGGTGCAGTGTTCATCTTTGTTCGATGGCTATCCAACAGGTAACCTTATCACATTGGCTCAGGATCTGGTAATTTCTGTAAATAAATTCCATGGCATCCCCAACAGGTGCACGTTTGCACACGGTTTGTGTCTAATTTCCATTGAAATTGTTTTTTTTTCCCCCACCAAACAAACTCGCATTCACGACAACCCAGTTTTTCGTCGGATACCTACCACTTGCAATCGCTTGATTTCTCCAATCCCCCTGCAACTGCCGCGCTTGGGCAGAACTCTCTCTCTCTCTCCTTAGGTGCCGTTGCCCGGTGCAGTCGATAACCGCGCTGTCCGCCCACAGGCCCTTGACGGAGGGAGGCTCTGGGTTCCCTCCGCCCGCCCACTCCTCCCTTGCGCTTTACGGCCTGAGCTACGGCGTCATTCGCCCGGCGACGGACGTCTCGCAGTCCGCGCTCGCCCTGCAGGACGTCGGCAACGTCATGCCCGGAGGTGTGAGGCTCACATCGGCTCTCCGAATGTGATGGGAAATGTGCACACCGATTTGTGGAAAGTCAACAAGGTGGGGGGGGGGGGGGGTGGTCATCTCATCAGAAAAAAACTGGCCCCTTCCTGTGGAAATGTGGAATTTCCACCGCTGGCTCTGGGTCGCCAGAAGAGATGAGTGCTACCCCCATTTGCTTGATTGGAAAGGGAGATTCTTGGATTTGATCTGATAATCCAAATGCCAGGGACAAGCTCTTGTAGAGACAAACTTGTGTGGGAGCATCTTGGGGCCATCTGATACAAGAATGAAGCTGCTCCTGTGAAGTCGCTTGGAAAGTACAATCACAAGGTTGGACTGCGCTGCCATTTTCAACGCGTGATGTCACCGAGGTGTGACCGGTTTATATGCAAGAGATAAGTTATTGGAAATTGTGGACATTTTCTCAAACGTTTGTAAACTGTCTTGCTGCTATTATTTATTCAGCGATAGACTGTAGACCGGTTTCATCCTCATCAGGACTCATCAGCAGAAACCCTACTGTGCCACTCTGACGGCACTAAATTGACATTGCGGTGTACAGTGCATTATGGCATTGTGTGGTGATGTGTCATTGGGGTTAAAGTGTCGTGTTTCATAGTCGCCACAATGAATTCAGTGCAGGTGTTTGTGGTATGAGAGGGAAAAAAAAGAGTAACTTTCCTTCCTACGCAAAGTTATTTAATTCATGACATTTGCGCAAATTATAGTTTTAATTGTTAAACAACATTGTGCTTTGGTTTTTCAGTAGTACCTTCCACGATGCTCTGTCGATGAGTGCTGATATATGTACCAACATGATTCTGAAGCTTTAACTTCATCTTAAATAATTGAACCGTTCAATTTAATCCCTCATCATTGAACCTATCCCAGCCATTGACAGTCACTTTAACCCTAAAGGTTATCCTTCCATTGACCCACTCAAATCTGTTGCTGTTACCTTGAGAAGCTTCATTGCCAAAAGCAAACAGCTTCATTCTTCTTATCCCATAAAATTCCCGACCTTCAATCTCTAGGTTTTACGTGCAGGTATCAGCGCATGCGTGAAAACATTTATAAAGTTTCTCTGGAAGAAATCACATAAATGATTTAAAGTTTGGATAGAATAAAACCTTTATCTCAGGCTTCCAAAGATGACGGGAGTCTGTTTTCTTTAATTATTTATGGGGGTTTTTCTTCCACAGCATCATTTTATATTCTCTTATATGCCTTTAATATAATACGGCTACAAACATAAACGTATTTTGAAGTATATAGGTCCTTCTCTCCCTTTGATATCGGTGTGTTTTTGTGCTTGCTTGTTGTCCTGCGCGACGCTGTACACATGTACACAAGGGTGTACATATGTGATGACGGCCTCGTCGAGTGATGCACACTCTTTAATCTGCAATAAGACTAAAAAGGACATGAGGAGAAGTATCCCCACGTTATGGACATATTAAGTACCACATGGTAACGCGCCCCTACTAATTTGTCTCTGGCTAGCTCGGCCATGTGACCGTGCTCCAAATTTGCAGTGTAATGGGCTGGCAACTTAGAATAATTGGAAATGTTTGCCCCAGTGGAGTCTCGCTTTGACTCAAGACCATTTTTTTAAGGGGTTTCCTGTTTCAAGGTATTCAGCCAATTATTAGTTTTGAGTAAAAACACATGTTATGAAGAAATCGACATCCAGTTCTATATTTCCATGTAAAAATGTAAACTGGCTTTCTAGCCTTTCGGCCTGTTTGCGCAGGAGATTTTGTGTTTACCGGCAGCGTTTGTTTGACCTTGTCGACTCGAGACAGAAATTTTGAATTTCTTGGGGGTGCTCATCAGCAGTCAGGAGTGTTGAGACTAGGGTCTAAAGAAAGCTGTCTCTGGTGTGGACAAATCAGTTTCAAAGACAATACACATTACCAGAGCATGGATTTTGTTAGCATGTTCACCACAAGTACTGTGTGTGGTTAATGCAGACAGGATTCCTTGCAAGAGGTTGCTGTTTGGTGTTTTAACATCTCGCCCGTTTTATTGCCAGAAAGGGTAAAACCTATTTTTATATTACATTATGAGACCTCCTTTTGCCAGTAGCAAGATATAGTAATAGGTTTTTACCCTTTTATCTGGCACCAAAACTGACACCTTTATACAAGGGATCATGTTTGCAATAACCACAACACAAGCAGTCAAAATGCAAACAAAACGAGACAACTCTGATAATGATATGCACTGTCCTTGAAATTGATTGGTCCACACCCTAGACGGCTTTTCTTAGAGCCTAGTCTCCATTGTTGTTTATAAAGGTGTCAGTTTTGGTGCCAGATAAAAGGGTAAAAACCTATTACTATACCTATTCTTATGTTCTAGTTTTGCCAGGCGTTATTGGCAAGATCACTCCTCTGCCAACGGAATAAATATTTTACAATTTTGTATATATATAAAAAATAATACTGTAATGGGGCATTCTGTGTACAACCGTAATAAACATAATTTAACTAATAAATAACTTGCCTTTGAGCGAAAGGAGGAGACGGCCTCTGTGAAAGGCCTAAAACGCATCCAAGATACCGTTGAACAATTATAATTTTTTGTCTCAAAATGTGTTTACTTCTATAACGAAAAAATAATGAATAATTTTTAAAACTACGTTTTGTAAACATATGTGCGACTACTTGTGTCTGCGGCCTTTAATTAGATTTTTTTTCAAACGCCTTGTTAATTATTTTCTCTGATCTCTGTTCTCTCAATGGGCTTGCACCTGACTACACAAAGAATGAATAAACACGTTTCAGCTGCTGCTATGTGCTGTGTATATGGTGCAAGCTTGCCAAACATGTAGCTTGTTTGTAAGCACATCCAGCGACTCGGGCTTTGTAAATACCATCAATTGTATCAGTGAGGGTACGTGTGTCTATTTTTAGATGTGTTATGTGTGGGGAACAGTGGCGCAGTGGAGCTGACGACTTTGTTATAAATTCAACGGCCACAGTACTTCCTAGCGGGGCTCCCTAAAGACCCCTATCATGGATGTCCTTCCAGCAGCGGCGTGAATCGGCATTTGCAGCGCTGTACCGTTAACCTGTGAATTAACAAACATTTTCGTTGCGTGTGTGCGGCGCAGCGATTGCGTGTGTGGTGCGGCCCGACGGGCCTCCACAGCTGTGCCGCGAGGACGAGGTCGGAGAGATCTGCGTCCGCTCTCAGGCCACGGCCGCCTCCTACTACGGCCTTGCCGCCATAACCAAGAACACCTTCGAGGTAGGCAGTGAGCTCCACGATGCACCAAGGGCTTCATTTCAGCCATGTCAGGCTGGATCGGCGACCCGGGTAATGTCCGGGAAATTATAAAAGCTTTCCCGTTCTGAGATGTCTGCACGTTTCCAGGTGGGTGTCCTGTTCACCGCTGAATCTCGGTACGCGTAAGCGGTTCAGCGTTAATTTGTTTTTAAAGACGTTGTACTCACCGCAACAAACTGTCGCGACATGACCGCACTCTATGATAGTTGGCACCAAACTGTGGCACATGCCCTCCTGCATGGCCTTGTGGGAGCCTTGGTACCGATAAAGTTATTGTAATTTTTATTTTTATTCTGGTGACGTTCACGTACGTACATGTTTATCATCCAAACGGAATCGGAAGAAAATCTGATGACGTACGTGTCTGTCATCGGAATGTTAAAGGGTTAATAATAATTTCAACTTGTAATGCACCGCCTCCCACAGAAAACTAGGGATGCTAGCATTTACTGCGATGTTAATAAAAAGAAGCTGTTCTTAATTTTGATCACGAACCCTGGATTTGCGAAAATTCATCAAAGGGTCAGCCGGCTGTGAATTATTCCAACCAAAGTGGGGGATGCAATGATGCACCCTTTCCCTAAAGACCTCAAATAAAAGCTAATATACAACAGAATAGCAAGTACATCTTTGAGTCAGGGACTCTTACGTGCATTCTGTGAATAAACTATACCAGTTTGATTGCACACACAGTTTCTAAATCTAATTAGGGGTAAAGTCATTCATTAACGAGGTGTGATCCCTTTGCGATGGTCGTCCCTTGCAAAGCAGCAAACCAAGTACTCTGTGCGCCCACTCTTGCTTGTACGGTACAGTACGTTTATTTTTGCATCTTTCGGCTCTATTTTAAAAGGTATCGGTTACATTTTAATGTGCAGCAGCAGCGCGTAGTGATGTATGACCAGTGCTGTTCATTGGTGCAGAATTTTGCTTTTCTGTGGGGTTTTGTGGTTTCGCCAACTATGTGTTATGTGTTCCGGGAACGAATGTGGTCATCGTTCTCGCATAGTTCTATTTTTTGGATTTGTTGCTTGCGCGGCATTAGCTGTTGTCTGCCGTTGCCAAATTAATTACGAAAGTCAGTGCGACACAACTGACAAGGCCATGCGATGCACACCAGACCATACTAGATGTGCTTGCGTGTTTGTCTGCGTCTTTGTTTTTATTTGTATTTGTGAGCCGTGGTTACCTACCGCTGCATGCATTTCAATCCCAGTGGGTCCACTCGAACCAGAGTTTTTATTCCACACACCGCACACCAGGACAAATTTATTATTTTGCTATCCGCTATCACGGGGCCCCCATTAAGTCTCTTCGGACTGAAATGAGAGCATCTGCTGTGATCTCATCAGCATCCTTATTGACTGGGGAGATCAAGGTGGTTGGTTTTGTTGGTAGTGAGTCACACCACTTTTATACATGCTACCCTGAATAGCTTTCTTGCTAACAACACCAAGGGGGGATGGGGGAGGGGTTGGGGGAGCAGTGGCCGCAGCGTTTAGCGTACAGCGCTATGAACTCAACGACCAGAGTTCAGGTTCATATCCACTGCTCACACGCTTGACGAATGATATCCGAAGCAGTCCTGGACCCGCACCCCCCGCCTTCCTCAATTGCCGCCGACGAGTGTTGTTGACGGGTAGGCCAAGACAACCTCTGTAAGTGGCACGGCATGGGGGAGCCCTTAAACCTGCAGTGGATTGACAGTTTCTGTACAAAAGCGCCAAGCCTGGCGCTCTTTAAAAACAAAAAAAAGGGTCTACAAATGGGAACTGTCTCTGTGCGTGTGTGTTGCGTGTCCATGCAGGTGTTTCCAGTGAATGTTGTGGGAGCTCCGTTCTGCGAGCATTCCTTCGTCAGGACAGGCCTGCTTGGTTTTGTGGGAGCGGTGAGTCACGAGTCCCTTTGGAGTCGCACTGTAAACTGGTCTTCTGTGGTGAATGGTACCCAATGGAAAATGTCAACAGTGTGTGTGTGTGTCGATTGGTCACTGTTCTGGGCATCCAAATGTTTGCGTTTGGGTGTGCATGTTGCTGTACGTGTATGTGTATGCATGTGGGTGTTGCTGTGCTGCATCTGCCAGTCATCTCAGTTAATCAATCTGTGGCACCTGGATCTGCCCCGTGACCTCCTGCCGGCGGGCGTGCGACACCTCACGTGGCCTTAAAGTGCACATCGCCTGGCACAAGCGCCGTGGTGACGTCATCACCACTTAGTGGTGAACGGCGGTTGTTGTTGCTACTACGCTGGGAGCCAGAGCGATAGCAGTAGGAACACGTGGATCAGTAGAACACGTCCGATTGTATGCATGCATCCCTGTGTGGCTGAGTTGTGCACCCAAGGTGTTTGTGATTTTAAGTGAGTGTATTCCTGTCTCGCTGTTCAGGGTGGACAGGTGTTTGTGGTGGGTCGCGTCGAGGGGGTGATGACAGTTGGCGGACGCCGCCACAGCGCCGATGACCTCATCGCCACTGCCCTGGCCATCGAACCGATCAAGGTGGTCAACCGTGGCAGGTGAGCGGAGTTTAAACAAATTCAAAGTCATCATGAGAGAGCGGAGTAGGTCACGGGATCAAGTCCTAAGTCAGACTGCTGAGGTTTTGGGTTCAAACCTGTGGGTTGTCATTCGGAGCATTAGAGGCTTGTGCAGAGCGTTTTATATCCTCAGCACAGTAACGTATGTGTAAATGTGCGAGTTCGTCATATATTAAGGATACATTATACAGTTGCAATTGTAGAGAGTAGCTCACCTTTTTGGAAAGCCAATGAGCGCAATCCAGAGGGCGATCAAGAGAAGCAAATTGAAAAGATTTTGATGAAAATCTTCAAGTGGGATTTTTTGGGCTTTTCCACTTCAATGTGAGCGGTGTCCTTTGTGCGATCAATTTTAATCGGAGCAAGTTCAGATTTACAATACCTGCTTTTAAGTAAGAAAATGCTTATTCATTTGCATACGAGCATCTCGTAAAATTGTACTTAATTTCGTACTTGGTTAACTTAGACGTTTGCACTCGGGTTTGTCAAATCACACGAGCATTTAGCGAAAGGGAGGTTGAACAAATGCGGCGGCTTTCCTAAACTTTGGCCGTGACGTCTACGCACAGCAGGCCACTGTCATGAACTCCAGGGGTGGTGGCTTGCCTTGATGCACATGTAAACGTGCGCACGCATGCATACGCATGGCCTTTTTAACTCTCGAAAATATTTATTTTTTGTATCGGAGCTATCACTTGTTTTGTGACAGTAGCCAGGGTGCGATCTGAACGTCTGCATTTAACCGAAGCCGCTGGCTCTTGTCACTTCCTGCAACATGAGAGACGGCCCCGTGGTGTTTTCCCCCGTGCTCATTTCCTGCGCGGAGAGCTCCCGTCGAGAGCGCGCACGGGAAAAACAAACCGCACTTATCAGCTGCGCCGGCTGCTGCCGCCGCCGCCGCTGGACAACAGGACACGTCAGTGCCACGAGCATTGTGGGTCAGGAGGTTGTGATTGCCGCGTGACTGTTTTGACTCCTCCTTGGCTTTCCCAGAATTCCCAGGAATAAGGTGAAAGGCAGTGGGAGGTAATCTAGGTCACCCCATGCTCGCCTAGGTAAAAGATTTCCCACAAGGTGGGAAGTCGGCAGCATTTGTACTTCTGTCGTATGGCGTATTGCAGAGATGAGAAACAGATTTTTGTAACGGCAACAAAAAAAGTTACAGATCAATATCATTAGACCTCCTTTGCCAGTACCAAAATGTAATAATAGGGTTTTTCCCCTTTTTTTGACAAAAAAACTTAAACCTTTTTACAAGGATTCATGTCTGCATTAACCACAATACCTGCAGTCAAAATGCAAACAAAAAAACATACTATGATAATATATGCATTGTCCTTGAAACTGATTGGTCCACACCAAGGGACGGCTTTCTTTTGAGCCTCGACCCAATTGGTGCTCGACCAGATGACGCCAAAAGCCATTGGACGAGGTGTGGAATGGTGCACTAAGGAGAGTTTAAAAAAAAAAAATTAACGGTGGCGTGCTGGCACTAGTGAAATGTTACACTTGCTCCTCTATCTTTTAGGATTGTGGCTTTCTCGGTAACCATCCTACGGGACGAGCGAGCTGTGCTCGTCGCAGAACAGCGGTCCCAGGCCTCCGAGGAGGAGTCGTTCAAGTGGATGAGCCAGGTCATTCAGGTGAGCAGAGATTTTACTGCCGCACGATTATTTTCGATGCGAGTCGTGACACGCGGTCCCTCTGAAAACGAAAGTCAACAGGTTGTGTTTATTTCCATTGACGGCTGAACCTGTGGTGGAAATTTCACATCCCTATGGCAGGGACTAGTCATCTGCATAGTGCTCAAACAGAAATATATTAGTAATAATGAGGACCACGTTGTCACTGTTAGCGGTGTCCATTGTTATTATAACTGCATTTGGTTAGCACTCGTGTATGTTGGAAGTATTCTCATCGTGAATACGGTGAATATTGTCTGTAATAATCCATTTTGCATGTAATAATTAGAATTCAAAACATTTTATCTTATTTTATTTTACCATCATTATTTAACCATCATTGCCCTCGAACAAAGATGGTCACTGCATCACACGCTTTCAGATGTGCTTCTGTGGCCGCCTGGAATGCTCTTCCTTCTGACATGAGGAAGCCACTGGAGCTGTGCACTTTTAAATCATCTCGATTGAAAACGTATTTCTTTAGAACCGCTTTTTGTGTTTAGTATGTTTTGTCGTTTCCCCGCACCGCCGATGAGCCCGGTTGGCTACGTACGGTGCGAAAGAAGTTTAACATCCACACGTAGATACTTACGGTCATGGTGGTCGTTACAAACCACCATCGGCACCTCCTGACACCCGCGTTTTGCCCCCTCCAGGCTGTCGACACCATCCACCAGATGGCGCTCTACTGCGTGGTGGTCGTACCGGAGAACTCGCTGCCCAAGCTCGCGCTGGGCGGCGTCGACCTGTTCGAGACGCGGCAGCGATTCCTGGAGGGCACCCTGCGCCCGTGCGGGGTGCTCATGTGCCCGCACGCTGCCATCACCAACCTGCCGCGGCCCCGCGAGAAGCAGCAAGGCAAGTGGCGGTCGTCGCCAACTTCGCGGTCTTGTCGCTGGATTGAGGGACTCTTTGGGGTTTTCCCGAGCGGCAGTGTTTGTTGAGAGCGGCTAAGCGGCAAATCTAGAGACTGCTTTGGACGAATTGCATAATGTGATTCGGGAACAATATCAGGTATGGCTTCAGGAATCTGTGTCCCGTTTCCTTTGCTGAAGACTTGGTAAATTGTCTAGGGACATATTGACTTAAAGCTTTTGTGACTGCAGGAATTCATATTTTTTGGGTCTTTCAATAAAGCCACGTAGATAGAAAAAATAATAATATCACGACGTTTGGATCGCAACACAAACAATCGTCTTCAGGTGAAAAAAGGAGACGATTGCTTGTGTTGAGATCGAAACGTCGTGATATTGTTATTATTTTGATTATTTTTTTCTATCTACGTGGCTTTACCGAAAGACGCAAAGAATAGGGGCATATTATTGGTTCTTTCGGTAAAGTCACGTAGATAGAAAACAAAAATCAAAATTAAAAGCAAAAAACCCACGACGCTTCGATCGCAACACAAGCGGTCTTCTTCAGGTGGAAAGAAAGAAAGAAAGGAAAAAAACGTTTTGATGTTCGTTTGGTGACTTTCCCCTTGAAGGAGTTTGCAATGCTGAAGGCAAAGATCGTTTTCTTGCTACGGTTGCACGATCCTCGCTCTCTTCTCCGCCGCACCACCCGACAGCAACGTTTAATTACGCCGAGATTGTGGTGTCAAGACTTTGTGTAAGACGCTTGAGTCCCAGTTAGAAGTGGGTCAGGGCATGCAGAGCGATTTCTTAATTAACTTAAATTCTTGACTTAAAGCTTTCGTGACTGCAGGAATTCATACTCTTTGGGTCTTTCGGTAAAGTCACGTAGATAGAAATTAATAAAAGTAATAAAAAATCACGACGTTTCGATCGCAACACAAGCAATCGTCTTCAGCTGATGATATCATTGCCCAGGTCGACGTAGCCCTGAAAGGTTTGGGACACATTCCTGCAGATGTGGCGAGATCGGAAATCGCTGCAATCCTAAAAAACGCTAAGAAACCCATTAGCAACATCAGCAAGGATGAGCGCTTTGAGCTTGCTCAACTGAAAAAGAGAGATGACATAGTCATCCTCTAAGCTGACAAGGGCAATGCCACTGTCATCATGGATAAAATCACATAGAGGAACAAAATTCATTACCTACTTAATGATGGCAGCTATACCAAAATAAATAGAGATCCTACCAACCGCCTGGTTACGAAAACTAACAATATCATCACTGATTCGACATCTTTAATCGAACCAACCAAGCGGTTCTCTCTAAAACCCTCTGCTGCAAGACCACCCAGATTTTATGGCTTACCAAAAATCCATAAAGATGGTACACCACTCCATCCTATTTTCTCCACCATTGACTCACCCACCTACAAACTGGCTCGATTTATGTCTGAGACCTTGCTGCCATTCACTGGCAGACCACCTCAGCTGTACTTAATTCAGCTCACTTGGTATCTCTAATTAAAGCCACCTCACTATCTCCAGGTGTTTTGTTTGTCAGCTTCGATGTAGTTTCTTTGTTTACCAAAGTTCCTGTGCCTGACACCATTGCGATCATTGAAGATTTGGTCCAACAGGGACTGAATGCTGGAATGGTACATTCTACAAACAAGTTGAAGGTACCCCAATGGGTTCTCCGTTATCTCCAGTGGTAGCCAATGTTTTAATGGAAAAATTTGGGACAGATGCCATCCAGACATCCATCCTACGTCCTTCCTTGTGGAAGAGATACGTAGATGACACGTTCGTCGTCTGGCAACATGGACTGCCAGCTCTGAACCAATTCTTAAACCACATCAATTCCATACACCCTGCCATCGGATTCTTACATTTACTTGCAAATTCCATCTCTAGCCCCACCCACTTACCCTTGGGTTGTACCCATGTCAAACCTATATAACCTTTGGCTGCAGTAGCTCTCTCGCTATATTTCTTCCTGCCTCAGCCGTCCGCCTGCTGTTTTTTTTCACCTGAAGACAATTGCTTGTGTTGCGATCGAAACGTCGTGATTTGTTTATTTTTTATTATTATTTTCTATCGACGTGACTTTACCGAAAGACCCAAAGAGCATAACTTGAATTCATAAAAAGTCAGTCAATTATATAAGATAAAGATCCCCCGTATAGCCTTACCAGATTGTAGGGGCAAGTGCTGTTAGTGAGCACCTATGAAGGCCGGAACGGTACACGAGGAGGTGGGTGGCCAGCACCACGCTCAATTATATGACCACTCTGAGACATGCAGTGCACAGTGTGATGGTTGATATGCTCTGTAAATGTGAATGTAAATTTGTTTATTATTTTATTAATTATAATTGACTGCCTCGGTATTCCACACTGGGCCTGGGTGATCTTATTTGCCCAGCCTGGATCCTTACCCCTTATTAAGCCTTCTTCACCTCTCTTATCCCCATTTCCTTTCCCAGAATCTTGCTTTATATATTTTTTTCTGAAAAAAAAGCATTATTCCTTGCATATTATCATATAGCTTATTGAAATTAGGTTTCTTTTAAACACTATAGATACAAAATGCCGATACTGGGCATGCAGGGTCAATCCTCAGTGTGACGCACACTACAGGCGACCTTGGATAATGCTCTCCGATGCGCGTAACCGGTGTGTTTAAGCCGTGGTGCATTAATGGACCTCGTCGTGTGTGCTCGGCAGAGATGGCACCGGCGAACATGATGCTTGGAAAGCTAGTGACCGGGAAGAGGATCGCCGAGGCTATTGGTCGAGACCTGGGCCAGAAGGACGATGACCAAGCCAGGAAGGTGACCGTTGTTACGATCTCAATCGGTTCCATTTGCTTGCAAGTGTCACCACCACCAGTGTGTGTGTCAACAAACACAGGGCTTTGACTCTGAAAGGACAAACGTTTGCTTTGTTTAAGATGTATTTTTTACTCCCGGCGTTCCGTTGGGCATACTTAGTTCAGCGGCTTGGCACCGATGCGCAATACACACGCACGGCTGTGGCACGGCGGCATCCGTTTGAAGTGCCGTACCCCGGCAATGTCGGATGTGGCTTGGCTTCTGCCAGGGCCGACGGGGCTGACGCACGTGGCAAAGAGAGTCGCAAGAGACGTGCAGTCGTTCATCGCAAAAGCGCCGCGGTGTTATGGCTTTGCGGTGAATGTGAATGCAGGCGTGGGGGGCGGTGGGGGGAGAAGCGCCTGTTGGGTATGCGAGTGCCGCGGCTCTGTTTTGTGTTTTTTTGTGGAGTTGCCCTCGTGCCAAAAGTCTCACGGAAGTCCCGCGGTGGTGCTGTTCCGCCAAAGAATTGCGCACATTGGACGAGACGTGGGAAAGTGTTTTTCCTCGAGCGGATGTGTTTTCTTTAATGTCTGAAACGTTCCGGTTTGTTGTTTTTAATGCCTTTTTCACAGTTTTTTTATTTATCCAAATCGCAGGGAGAAATAAGTGAGACTTCTTGTTTTTTTTTCGGTATGAATAATGCATAGTGCGTACGCGCGTGCGCGTGTGTATTGTTGGCTTGTGCAGTTGCATTTATGGGAAATGGTAATGTAGAGGTTTGCACACTGGTGCTAGGTGCTGTCATGCTTATGGCCTACTGGGTGCAGGGTTCTAACTATGATACAATTGGTATCTAAACATGACATGGGCTTCACCTATGTTGATAAAAAAAAAGAGAGGTTAGGTCACACGCATTAGAAAACTAAATAAATTACTTCATTACACTCATCTTGTGTGACTGTATCCCTGAATTATAAGTGGCTAGTACAGTGAAAAAGGAAGGATTACTCGGCATTCGGTGGTTGTTTATGGTGTCGATTTCCCAGAACGCCGAGACGTGACGCGCCGCCGTGGAATATTACCCTCCGCAGCACGCGTGCGTTCACCCTGAAGCGGCGCGTCCTTTCTGTGCTTTTTTGTCAGCGTCCGCTTTGCTCGAGGAGCTGTAGCTCGCAGGCACGCGAGCGTGACTGACGTAGCCGTGTTTTGGCGTTTGTGCTGCCAGTTCCTCTACCTGTCGGACGTGCTTCAGTGGAGGGCTCAGACTTCGCCGGATCAGAACCTCTTCACGCTCCTCAATGCCAAGGTAGATGGCGGTGTTCGTCTCGCACTGGTAAAGTCACCCTGGCTCTTGCAATGGAAGTGGCGTAGAGACGAAGGTCGCGTCGAGGTCACCGAGTGCGTCGCCTCGCTCAAACGCGCCGGGGGCGGCGCTCATCTCTCGGTTGGCAGTTTGGAGCCAGCGGTGGGAATTCACACTGCTCCTACGGGCAATTGATAATATATTTTTAGTATGCACTGCTATTGTGGAAGGAGAGGCTGAGAGTAATCTTGACAGTCTTCGTTTAAGAAACCTAACAAAGGAAACGAATCTGCTAATTCGTACTCCCATGAGCACTGTGTTCAGCCTTCTGCCCCACGGAATTTCTGTGCCCCCTCTTCCCTTGGTACTGCTCACGTTTCTGTGTCAGGCTCTTGTGGAATAAAACCAACCCAAAAAGTTGTATTCACGTAGTATATAAATGCAGCTCACGTCACAAGATGATTTAGACAAAGAACAAAAAAACACCTTAGGGTAGAAGGGGGGGCGTGGGGTGGTGGAGGGAGTCAGATCAGGGAACCAACGGGGGAGAGGAGAGAGAGCAACACCGAGCCATCAACAGCAACAACGATGAGCCCCAGGTGGCAGCCAGGGGCAGCAGCAGCAGCAGCAAGAAATCGCAGGGCATGCTCTGTGCAGTCTGAGCCCTTTTCCAGTGAGTCCCGAAGCATCCACCAGTGTCACCAACTTCGCTGTCCTTTGAAGGCGCCGTGCGAGACATGTGCTGCGCTTGCATGCGTGTGGTGCGCAGGGCGCGGTGGCCTCCACGATGACATGTGTACAGCTGCACAAGCGTGCGGAGAAGGTGGCCGTGCTGCTCACGGAGAAGGGCAAGCTGAGCAAAGGAGATCACGTGGCGCTGATCTACCCGGCCGGTATGTCAGCGAGTTCTCCCGTACTCGCGCGCGTGCACGCACGCACTTGTAGAAATAAAAAATAAACCTCAAGGAATTGGCTCGGTTGTATTGAGCAGCTTCACACACCGATGGAGGGTTGATGCTCAGTGATGCTAAACTTCAAATATTAGTTGCATTGTTTTTTATATGCATCCATTCCACACACGACTGTACAATAACCTCAGTAATTCACCAATTTAATCCACCTAATCTTCACAAAAGTTCGCTGCCCTTCACAGTGAGCATTTGCATGCTATCACAGTTTTTTGTAGTACACCCTCCATGGACACTGGTGATCGTGCAGTTGAAGTAACCGATGGCTGGAGATTTGCAGCAACGGCGAGGGACATGCTTCGTGTTCTGTGCGCATTGTTTCCGTGCCAGGCCTGGACCTGATAGCGGCGTTCTTCGGCTGCCTGTACGCGGGCTGCGTGCCAGTGACAATACGACCGCCAACGCCGCAGAACCTGTCCACAACGCTCGCCACCGTCAAGCTCATCGTCGAGGTGACTTTCGCTATAAGTGGTTGCGTGCGTGTCTCATGCGAGAAGAATGATAACGATAATATATAGCGTACCAATTCACAATGGATGAAGGCCTCCCTACACCGTGTCGATTATGGGGACTGTTTGACCATACTTCACCACGCTTGTCAGTGCGGTTTGGGGGCGTTGCCCAGGACCGGTTTGGAAAATGACTCGCCACTGATGTTGGCCACGGCCGGGAATCAAGCGTGAGCTTTACCGTTTGTCGCCACTAGGGGTCAATAGGTGGTGGCAATCGGCAAAGGCTCGCCACAACTTGGTGCGGTCGCTGGGGAAGGGGTGTTGAGATTAGGACAGGCACCGCCGAAGCCAGTAATAAACAGACTTCATAGAAAACAAATGATGTCTTAACCTGTTTATGTTTTCGTCAAAGTGATTTCTTGCCGAAATTAGCATTTAAGCGGTGATCATCACCTATTTACGGCCCTGATCCAGTAGTGTAAATTCCACATTCCTATGGCTGCGCCGGTGGAGTGGTGAGTTGGCGGGTGGGTGGGGGGGGGGCAAGTTTACCATAGGATGACCTTTGGATTGTGATATAATGCCTCCCAGCATTACCAGATGGCAGCGGTGGTGGGATCTAAACCCTGGAACGCTTGGAAAGCTGGCTGACGTGCAAAATAGCTAAGCAGCATTAGTTTGCTAAGCTGTTGCGGTGAGAAACAAAGTGGATGTCCTGCGTGGCAGTGCAGCCTCATTCCTGGGCGACTAAACCAGTTTGTGTGGAGTTGGCAGTTTGCTTCCGCTAAATCTGCCTTCTACGAGGGGTGCGCGATGAAAAATGTATGTTTATAACCTGAAATATACGTTTAAAAATAACCTGTGCTAGCTGCATTCGAACGGTTTACAATTTTCTTTTGATCTTTTCATGGTGTTCGTTCTCTACAGATAAGCCACACAATGAACTTAATAATTCACCTTTTTTCATCCACTCAAGTTAAGAAAATCAACATAAGCCTATCTTGTAGGCAATTTGTGGGTTATCAAGTTTTTCCAGGTCGGCTATTTTACTCGGTCACACCATGAGCTATAAGGTGAGCTCGTAACAAACTGTATGGCATTGTGTACTTGTGCGAGAATCCTAATTAGGAGGAACAGCCACTGTTGTATTTCCTCATAGTTATTCCTCAATGAATATGATAATTAATCTGATAAAATAGAGGGTGTTCATAATTTTGTTGCCGAGCATCTAGATGGATATGATGATTAAGAGGGTGCCGCGTTGGTGACCCTGATGCCCGTATGTTTGGAGTTTGCATATTCTCCCCGCGGGCGTATGGATTTTTCTCTGGGTCCCACCAAATGATAAGCCATTTCTTTGAGCTATCATTTGTGACCAGGTCACTTTCGAAAAAGAGCTATGCAGGTCAGTGGGCCTTACCTGGCAAAATAAAAAATGACGACAATGAAATGTTTCCCATTTCCATCTGCAGACGAGCAAGTCTGTGTGCGTGCTGACCACGCAGCTGCTCATGAAGCTGATCAAGTCGAAGGAAGCTGCTGCAGTTACCGACTCTAAGGTCTGGCCCCCGATGATTGATACGGGTAAGAATACTTCCCAGGTCTAATTGAACACGTGCACTTTTATATTACGTTTACACTTTACATTTTACGCGCGTATGTAATGTTTGCGGTCGTGTGCCATCATGTGGACTGCCGGTGGTGTCTTCACGCATCGAAACGTAGCCTTGTAGTCCTCTCCGGCCTCCATTTGTCAAATAAGTCTTGGTACAGGAGCTGAGCCGTGGAACTTTCACAACTCGTCGTATTGAACTTTCTAGCAACCTGCTTCTACTTAAGTGACTTGAGGATACCCTCGCATCGGCAATTAATTCAGTTCATCGTTCATAAAATTAATCGGCCATGATCAATGCACTGCTGGATGAGAAGGCTCTTCAAGCTGTCGCTGTGTCTCTCAGTTCTGAGAAATAACAATCCACAACTAACACCGGCACATCACGAGCCGATTTAATTGCTCACCTTTCTGTTGGTTGTGTTCCTCCCTTTGGCTGCCACTGTCGCTTGTCTCGACCACATGCCTTCATCCCTGTGTGTGTGTGTATATATATAGAAGGATTTTTTTTACTTATAAATAATCAAATAGATCACTGTTTTTTTTTAGCCACAGTTGCAACTGTGATTTCTCACAAATGGTCGCCTTTTAAAATTCACCAATGCTCTCCACTTTAATGACAATTAAGGTGTTAACACTATAACGTGTAAAAATATGGCATGTAATTAGGGCACGTAACTATTATTGCATTTCAAAATCAAATGTTTTTTTGTCTCTTTATTTTTGCCATTTGGATCGCATTGTTCCTCATTCTGTCTCGTGCTGAACAGTTGTGTTTGCTCAGGTAGTAGCCTCCGTGCTTGATCATATAATTAGCAGAGCAAATACGCATACAATTTAACTAATATTTCTCACACAAATGAGTCTACGAATGTATCGTGAGCATGAGAATGTATTTGAATCAATGACTTGATGCATAATTACATGCCCTAGTAATAGCAACAGCAACAATATAATTTGCACTTGTTCAGCATCTAAATGCACTCATTTCTTTAGAAGTGCTTTTGTGTTTTCTTTGTTGTCCTTCCTCCGCACCTCCGATTTGCATGGTTGGCCATGAACGGTTTTAACAAAGTTCAACACACTTACACGCGTACACCCGTGTGTCGAGACGCTGTGCAAAGCGAAGTGAGAAGATAACAGCGCGTCGCGATGGGAAGTGAGTGCCGCGAGTTGGAGAAGTGCTGACCTAAACAACAGCGGAGCGAGACGGGGCCATCGACAGTGTAGGAGGAGACGCTGATTCTCCTTGTTTGGCTGCCTCTCTGTGTGTGCATGCACCCACAGACGAATTGCCCAAGAAGAAGCTGTTTCAGATCTACAAGGCACCCACACCGGAGATGCTGGCTTACCTTGACTTCAGCGTCTCCACCGTCGGGATGCTGGCAGGAGTCAATGTAAGTCGGCGGTAGTGTAACCGTTACCACGCTGTGCTCCAAACCCGGCAGCCCGAGTTCAATTCTCGCTCACGGTCAACACCAGTGACGATTATATGAACCGGTCCTGGGACTCCCCTAGGTCGACTCGGCTCCAAACGAGTACCTGGTGCAGTGCGTAAACAAAGCCACTCGGAAGAAAAAAGGATTGCCAGGTCTGGTGCTGTCCACCCACCCCCTCGTGTTCCGAGCTGGCCTTAATAGGTGCTCGCTAACATCACTTGCCCCAACAGCCTGTTGAAGGTTATACGGGGGATCTTTGTCTTTATACTTGTCATTGTATATATCTATATGCACATGCTGTAATAATAACAATAAAAGTAGGGAGCGGCGATGCGATGATTAGCACGCCGCGCTATGAACGCAGCGCGCCTGCGTTCGATTGCCCTTTGTGGCGAAGATCAGTGGCGAGTGGTATCCGAACGGGTCCTGCATCTCTCCCACAACCCTTTGTCAAACCACTGCTGGTTGAAGGGCCTCCCGACATTGTGTCAGTCACGGGGGTGTTTTCAGCATACTTCACCGCAATAGTCACTGTGCATTGGTGGAGGCGTGAGGGTCCGGAACCGGTTTGGATATCACTCGTCACTGATGTTGGCTATGGCCAGGAATCATGCTGGCCAGGAATCATGCTGTCCACTGTGCCACCGCTCCACCGCTCGACCCCTTATACTATATTCATATATATATATGTGTGTGTATATATACACACACACACGCACACAGTGTAAACATCTCCACACCTATCTGAGCACCGGTTCGTCGCCGTGTCTACTGGCGACCCTAAGCTGGTGGCAGAATGTAACCATTTCTGTGGTGAGGACCAGTCTGTCAAAAATGCAGCCACTCTTTTGTATATGCACCCATTACACACACACACGTAAAATTGTAATTCAATTGAACATGTCGATGAGTGCTTGGCACTAGTGTACAAACACAAATGAAAAAACAACAACTCCATTAACGCTTTGTTACTGTGGAAAAGTATAAACTACAAGAGGCAAATATTTCAGGCAGTGACCCTGCTTCCGAACAGGGAGGGAGGACATAATATATTGATTTAAATTTGGAGACAGTGATTGATGCCCTTTATCTAACCCTAATATTATATATATTTACACACAAAATATGTTTGCATTATAAGGCAGCGTCACTGACAAAGGTCATGGTGTCATTTGATTTGTGCTCGCACAATTATAAATCGTCCTTCGGTCCAGTCGTCGGCTCCGCGGTGAATTGAAACGAGGTCAATCCTGGCCTCTTAGGCCATTGCGGATACACCGCCGCAATGTGTGGGTAAGAGCGGAAAGCTGTAGCACTGCTCACACCTCATCGCCCCCACCCCCCATAACCCCCCCCCCCCCCACCCCATCGTTGCAGATGTCGCACGCGGCAGCCAGCTCGCTGTGCCGCTCAATCAAGATCCAGTGCGAGCTGTACCCGTCCCGTCAGATCGCCCTCTGCCTCGACCCCCATTGCGGCCTGGGGTTCGTGCTGTGGTGCCTCTCCGGGTAAGGGTCGCACCCGTCGGTCGGACGTTCGCGGCCATCCCTGGACCCTCCTTCCAAAGGTTGTTTCGGCCTTAAATGAGTTCCTGGTATGTTCTGTAAATATCAGCGCCGGGGAGGCAAGGCAGTCAGGAATCGGGAATCTCAATTTGCTGGGTTTGTAGCAGGGTGCGTCAATCGCCGGTGCTGATGTCGAATACGCTGCACGTAAGGTGCTCAATTTAAGGCTGAGACGAGCGCTGTCAGCCGTGCGGCTATGAGCGGGGGGTGATTTGCTTAAGCACCACCACCCGGGCCAATTTTTTCTCCCCTCTGCCGATGTTTACACACTGCACCCAGATACTCATTCGAGGCTGAAATCGACATAGGAGAGGATCACGAACCAGTTCAGATGTCACTGGCCGCTGATGATATCCACGGCCGGGAGTCGAGCCCCGGTTTCACTCCTATACATTGTTGCGACCCAAGCCACCTCACCTGAGAGATGCCCCCCGGAGCCTCGTTGCTCCTGCGACCGTGACCCCCAAACGCAGTCACGGTTTTGTGCTGTGTGCACTCGGTCTCAAAGGAGTGAAACAAATGAATGCATTTTTTTTGTAGGATGGTCCCCAGTCTCTTACCTGATCCAGAGTAAAGATTGTGCCACGCAATTCGCCAGAGTAAGCCATTGTGTGCTGGCAGCCATGGACAAATTTGTCTGGAGAAACAAGCCCCCAATTCGGCAGGAATTCCTAGTAGGGAGCGTGTGCAGCGTACATGAGTCTGAGCGTGCCTGCTGAGAAAACACACTCGGAAAAAAAGAGGTTGTACAATTTAATGAAAAAATGTTCATAACAATTAATTTTTAATCAGTTCTGTTATCAACAAACAATGCACTTCACAGAGGTCCCGAGCGTAATTTGCACTCTCTGGGCTGGGGTTGTTTATCACGTTTGAACGCGGAGCTTTCCTCTGTTAATTAATTTATTTCAATACACTTATTTATCAGCAGCGTGCCTCTTCAGTTATACTTTCTCTTGATTAGGGGATGTTTATTTCCAGTTAATCAGCAGAGCGCCAACACCTTCTATGAAGAAGTACGTTCTTAATTAAATGGACAATGTTTAGTGTTAATGAACTTCCAACGTTATTAAATTGTGTTTTTGCGGTATTCCCTACGCAACATGTTTTATATGCCTGTGTGTTTGTCTTTGTTTATAGTGCATTGTTTTTGTGGGGAGCGGTAGTGGTTATCTTGTTGTGCTACGAACCTTGCTTACCCGAGTTCGATTCCCGCTCAAGGTCAACAGCAGTGACGATTGCTTGAATCGCTGCTGGGCCTCATCTGAGTCGACTCGAACTTAAAGGAGTACCTGGTGTGATGGGAAACATCAGCACTGGGGAGACAAAGGAGGCAGGGCGTGGTGCTCGCCACCCAACCCCTCGTGTTCAGAGCCGGCCTAAATAGGTGCTCGCTAACAGAACCTGCCCCAGCAGTCTGTTAAAGGCTATACGGAGGATCTTTGTCTTTATACTTGTCATTGTATATATCTATATGCACATGCTGTTATAATAACAATACAAGTGGGGAGCGGCGATGCGATGATTAGCACGCTGCGCTGTGAACCCAGCGGACCTGAGTTCGATTGCCATTCGTGGCTAATATCAGTGGCGAGTGGTATCCGAACGGGTCCTGCATCTCTCCAACAACTCTTTGTTAAACTACTGCTTGATGAAGGGCCCCCCCGACGTCGTGTCAGTCACAGAGGGTGCTTTCAGTGAGTACCTGGTACGGTGTGTCTTAACATCAGCACTGGGGAGACTAAGATTTCATAGGTGCTTGCTAACAGCACTTGTCCTAACCGTCTGTTAAGGCTATACTGGGGGAGAAGGCCTTTGTTTTACAGTATTTATGCATACATTGTACATGTTGCCCATACAGCTACCATCTATGATGAAATAATTTTAATTAACCTTATTGAAATTATGGAAATGTATTCCTTATATACTTAAGTTTTGTTTTACAATAGCTTAAGCTCTCTCAAGACATTGGCATATACCTGAGCCGCCCCCAGATCTCGGTACAATATACATCACCAACACCCTGGATTGTTGTATCCAGGGACCGTGAGAGATGGCAATGGCTTGGGGTGGTGAGATGTTGACTACCTTGCCTGGTATACAGGAGGTCGTGGGTTTGATCACGATCCTAACGCCTGTATATTTGAAGTCGGCATGCTCTCCTCGCGTTTTGCGTGGATTTTTCTCCGAGTCCTCTGGTTTTTACCTCCTTATTTAAAAAACATGCGTGTAGAGTATTTGCCTGCTATAAATTTACGCGTGATGAGCCACTTTTGTTGAGCTATCATTTGCGGCAAGGTTGCGCCCGTTTAGTTTGAGCGCCGATGCATATTATGGAGCAGTTTCAGTGGCGGCAGCGGTGGCATCTTTACGTACTGTGAGCACGGCTGGAGGGGCTGGTGGCGTCTTTGCAAGTTGGCAGCCAGGATGCCCTGGGAGGGCGCCCTCTGAAAGATTACACGACGCGTGTGAGCTGCAGGTTCAGTGCAAGATGCAATCTGTGTCGACAGGCAGGAGGTTAGCGTATTGGCCTTTGTAGCGCGAGTCCTGGCTCACCTTTCCCTTTGTTCGGGTGATTAATTGAAGTGTGCAAAATTAATTGTACAGCAGCTCTTTTGTGTTCCTGCACAGAGTGCATTGAAGGTTTAGTTTACAAAAAAAAGCCATTCGGTACATCTTAATTAGGCATTTTTTGTATTATTATATTTGAACATCCATATTATTATGCGCCCGCATGTTCGTGATGTTGCTCCACCATTTCACAAAATAAAGTCAGGTGAAACTGTTTAACACACAGGCTGTCGCGACCAGGTAAAACTATCAACCTTAGCAGAATTTTACAATGTCTGTCTTTGTATTAAACGGTCTAATTTACACATTTAGGGGAAATCTGGATTAGTCTCGCGGGTTCACGAGAGCTCTTTTCCCAGTGAAGTTACGAATAACATCTCCTGCTGTCCGCCGATTCAAACGTAGAGCGGGCAACAAAGCGCTGCTGTTGGTGAGAACAAGCAACGACCTCGCATGTAAATGCACTTTCACATTGCACCCGCATGAAGGAGGTTGCCGGTGATTGAAGTCTTTTACGCTGTGGCCCTAATGCACTTTCTCCTGACAACCCTGCATACATTTGCGTGGGACACCGAGTAGTTTGATGGCAGTCGTTTGCTGTACGCTTCTATTAATCACGCTGACAATAGGCGAGGTAAGCGAGGGACTCTGAATGGGTGAGCTGATGCATTGCCCCTGTCTTGTCTGGACAGATTGCATCTTCACTTGACTACTCTCCTTTGTTGTATTTCATTTCCCACTCCCCCCCCATTCCGTCCTCTATCGCAGAAAGTCTCCAAACAGATCAATTTAATAAAATAATCTGCATCCAGCACACCTTTAATGACGGGCCTTTGAATCGTAGTCTTTATTTTGTCCTTGATTCCAATTGTCATTCCGATTTGTGTGTTATCAGCTCATACCATGAGATGAAGAATCTATTGGGAAATGTCGCAGAGCAGCGCTTGTTGGGAAATGGTCCGCAGAACATCTTCTGTATATCTTCACATCACCTGTTCACATCACGGGGGGGGGGGGGGGGGGGGGGGGGGGGGGGGGGGGTTGGGGAGCGGGGGAAGCACTCTCCAACATGCCCTGCCCCAGACAGAAATATTTGTCACGTGGCAATCAAACAGACATATTAAATCCACTGAGCTGGAATTTTAACAAGGTCAAGTGAAACACCATATTTAATGTGATAGCCTTTGCGCCGTCAGGGCGACCGGCGTGAAATCCATCATTTCGCTTCACTTGAATACCCTGTTTAAACACGAGCAGCAGGCCCGAAATCAGCATCACGGCCCTGCCGGCTCGGAGCTCTGACGTCCTGACTCGCCCAATCACAGGAATCACCGTCTTTAAGCGCGGCAATTTCTGTTACGCTGCGCGCAGATTATTGACCGAGAGGCCCCCTTTAGACTCTAATGTTTTCGAGTGCACGCACAGCTGCCACATATCCATGTTTATGTGCACTCATTTCATATCTCTGAACACGTGAATTTGTGGAAAGGCGTGGGCTATCTGATTGGGAACTGCAGTTGTAAACACAGTGGGTTTTGTTGGGGTCACACCCCCGGTGATGCTTGAGTGGCTCGAGTGTTGCTGCTGTCGCTGGTTATTAAGATGCGCTTCGTGGAGTTGACGGAATTAAGATGTACATGTCCGGTGCGCCCTACACTGAATGTGCAGCTATATGTACGTACGTATGTCGAGCTTCTTTCGCATCGTAAGTAGCCAACCGTGCTAATCGGAGGTGAGGTGTTGTGTTGATGTCAGGGAAGAGGCAATAGCAAATTAATAAACATGTGTTAATCAAATGTAAAACTAATTATAACAACCTGGCAAAGTAAATTGCAAATGTCAACCCCTACGTGGTTTATTAGGGAATGTCAGTGCGTTTTTTCATAACAAATGTACTTTTTGGTTTTATTTTGAAGTATATCATTCGTGCAGTCCATAGAAGAAAAAGAAAACATTTTATTTCAAAGCCTCTACGCGTCTCTCGCCGGTCTGAGCACACTGATTACATCGCTTAACACTATCCTCCCCACGCGAGATACTAATCCACCACTCGAAATGGATCAACCTTGGTTTTCAAAGCGCAATTAAATTTGGCGTTCACCGACGATTGTATTAACGAGCAAGCGAATGAGATTTCACGGAACCTGCCCCCCCCCCCCCACCCACTGTGCTGTGCATTCAGGGTGTACGCCGGGCACCAGTCGGTGCTCATACCCCCTGCGGAGTTGGAAGCGAACCCGGCCGTGTGGCTGTCAGCCGTGAGCCAGTACAAGATCCGAGACACGTTCTGCTCCTACTCGGTCATGGAGCACTGCACGCGCATGCTCAGCACGCAGACCGACGCGCTCAAGGTGATGCGCCTTCGCCGCCACCACCGTGCGCGCGCACGAATGACGGACGCCATCTTGTCAATGCGGCCACGTGGTCTTGTTGTATTCAAACCCGGGAGAAGAGCTCATTGAGATTCTGTTGCGCAAATTTTTTTTTGTTTCTAAGGAGAATCCAAGTGACTCGTTTACGCGTTGGCTGCTGATAGTGTCTGGATACGAATTAATGGTGTCCGTTTCTGCCTAGGCGACGGTATAAGTTGCGTTTACGGTGACATGAAAACAGGTGAACAGGTGGCCATCGCTAGTAGGCTACCACGTCCCACCCAAGTCGGCGCTACGTGCGTGGTGGAGGTTTATTTAAACACCCTTCAAACCGTCCCTTTCGGCTTGCATTTATGAAGGCAGGGAGCATTAGATGCGGAAACACAGAGAACTGTGCGACGATTGATCCTTTCGGGCAATGCCTTCCGCTGCTCCCCACGTGTTTCCACAGCCTGTAACAACCTGACGGTGCGAGGCGAAAGGCTTTGCTAAGCTTCGCGTAGCTTCCCAAGATCCGACGAAATGGAATATGTTTTGGGCGATTTGGTGACAAGTGCAGAATCCATGGAGAGCACCTTCTTATAGACGGGAACTTTAATTGTGGACATTGAAGGCCCGGTGGAATTGTTTGCAGGGAGTGGTCATTGTGCGCGCAGGTATTATGGCCTAAGTACAAATAAAAAAAGAATGTGAAAACTACGATATATACTCGTTAGCCTTTCACACGGTTAAATACAAGACTTTGACAAATCAAATATAAGATTATGGATTTAAAAATTGAATGCTAGGAGGGGTGTCGGGTTATTATTGAACTGTACTATTCGAGCTGTTGATGTTGCCAGATGGGCCTCTTGAGAATAACTCCCTTCAAGGGAACTATTTAAAACGAAATGTAATCTAATTAGCATACGGCGTCTCGCAACCATCACATTAATTATATCGTTTGCGCGTTTGTTGCAGTTGTTTTATATCAATGACTCGACCGACAACAATAATAGTTTTTTTTTCTATAATTTCTTTACAGATTTTAACCTAAGCTCTGGGACAAGTTGCGTGAAAAAAAAAAACGATTTAATGGTGTGAACTATCCTAAAATATACTAATTAAAACAATAACAGTTTAGTTCTCGTTAGAATGTTGATTGTTCGAGAAAAGCTTCGTAATAATTGAATGATGTTCTGTTTCACCACCAAACAATAGCATTCAGGTAGCAACAATTTGTTTTTATAAAATTACGATATTCAAACTGAAGGACATTGCTTTAGTCGTTTTTTTTTCTTTATTGATTAACATTTGGACTCTGCTGCTATTATGTTATTTTATTACATGATTACTGTACCACTTCAGGAGCCTGGTCTTAGAAAAATGCACTTTCAATTTCTAAATGTACATTTTAGTACAGCCGTTTTGTCAATCCACTACTGGATGAGGACTCTCCGCTGGGTCCTTGGGGTTACTTGACCATATTTCACCATGCTAGTCTTTGTAAGTTGAAGGCGGGTAACATAGATGTGGTAGCATAGAAGTACAGCACAACTATCGGTTTTGCTGCACTGCCCTCTGCTGCCCCACCTTGCATGTCCTATGACGACATTATGCAGGTTCCACCCGCCGTAGCATCCATGCTCTAATGTGTTTTAGTTCTCACTTGGTAATCAGTAAAGTTGCCCTTACTAACACGGGGTGGGCCTGTTCTTGTTAACGCTGTGTGTGTTGGCGTGGTGTGGTATGGCGCGGCGTGTGGTGCTTTGTACGTGGTGTTGTATGGCACGGTGTGGTGTGTGGTGCTCGGTGTGTGGTATGACGTGTTGCCGTGGTGCGGCTCGGCGTGCGGTGGTGCTTGCGGTGTTGCAGGCCCGCGGGGTGAACCTGTCGGGCGTGCGCACGTGTGTGGTTGTGGCGGAGGAGCGGCCCCGCATCGCGCTCGCCACCTCCTTCTCCAAGCTCTTCAAGGACCTGGGGCTCTCCCTCCGAGCTGTGGGGGCCACCTTCGGCTGTCGGGTCAACCTTGCCATCTGCCTGCAGGTGAGCGGCGGCGTCGTCCTCGTCCTTGTCATAATAATTATCGACAGCTGTAATCTATCTGCTGCATGGTCTCCCCGAAGCAGTCGCCATCTTTTACAGTCTCGCAATGCAACGGTCCACCGAACATCTGCAATCGCGCGTATTTTATCGCTCCGTTTCTGCATTGTACGCCCTCTAGGGCATGTTCTCTACTTTGAATGTTACCCTGTTATTAGTCTCGACCACCAGGGTCATCCCTTCTCGACGTGTCCTGCACAAGCCCACTTTTCAAAATTCCTGGCATAGCCATTGGACCCCTAATAATCGGCATGCATCTTGCCAGGAGGCACTATGGTTTAGAGCATTCAACCCAAAATTTAAATGCCTGCAAGTTCAAATGCTGGTCGAGGTTCAGTTCTGCATATAATCCTGAATAAGGCCTATAGAGTGAGTATCACTCTCTGAAAAGACAGTAGTTGCTCATGCTATGCACAGACTGGCCAATCACTGAGAATGTGGAATTTCTGCCTCTGGTTCATCCATCAACGGAGATGATTGTTGTGCCATTGAGCAGAGAGAGACGATGTGACTTGGTAGTTTAAAAACTCAATCTTTGCAGAATAGAGCCTCTATGAGTCTCGGGAATCTTCGAAAAGGGTCCTATTTGTAATATTTGATCATTGTTCATGATAGCAGAGTAGCCAGAAAAACTGAAGAGAACTCATACATATGAGAGGCTAGTACTTTCAATTATGTAGAGTGCGTATTAGCAGTCTACTTGCTGTACAGTCACCTCAAAGTAGTCATACAGGTTGGATGTCTCCTGTTTCTTGACGATGGTTTGTACAATGTATGTATGTTGACCTTCTTTCACACCGTACGTAGACAACCGTGCCAATCGGAGGTGCAGGGCAGGACAGCAAACGAAACTCTCAAAGCAAGTTGTAAAGAAATTAGTTTTCAGTCTATAAACAAATAATAATTTTCAATCTTAAATCTATGATACACCAACCCCACATCTGATGGGCCAGGTTGTAGGCAGGCGACGTCATGCCCAGCACAGCCGTCAAGTCCCCCGAGTCATTAAGCCACTTAAAATACAATTCATTCAAAGTAATTATTCTAAAATAAAGCATCTCGTGGTACGGAAGCATCTGGGTGGCCAAGGTGCACCATTCACCTCGTGAGTTATGCTGTGTTGCTGTTGCACAACGGATATATAGAGGCATGTTTTTCAGCTGAACACCAGTGCAATTGAGAGAGTGATCGAATTTATATTCTGAGGTGCATTTCTGAGTAAGAAAGGCGAAGCAGGTGGTGGCTATGGGTGCTTAAGCCTGAAAACAAGGCAATACGTTGGAGGCCATAACGCTGTTTCTCACATTAACCAAGAGTGAAAAGGAATAAGCATTGCACTTCCCCGGGCCTCGGAAGAGTTTCTCTCGCTGGGAGTTTAATGGCCTCCGCTCAGTCGCCAAAACCAATTATAATAAGTAAGTAAATATAAATCAATGGGCCACAGGTAAAGAGCACATGCAATTTTCGTTGCTACCATTCCTCTCAGCATGACGTACAACCTCTGGGTTGAGGAAAACTCTGCCTTCTCTACCGAAGTCCAGTCAATTAGGCAAGCCCGGCCCTCCTAGCTCACACTCCATTGACTTCGGCTCTGGTGTGTACCTCAAGCCAAGACGGTGGGAACTTGGGGTAGATGGATTTATGAACTGTCAGGTTTCAGTTTCATTTATTTGGTATAGCCCTGTGAGCCATTCGGCTCTTGAATCGGGTGCAACCGCAACAAAGAAAAAACAAAAACATGAACAAGAAGACATCTTAAAGTGACTATGTGACTGTGCAAACAGAAAATCCAGGAAAAAACAGCAAAATATTCCTGAAAAAGCACCGTACATCTGTGCGCTCCTGACGCGTCTAAACCAGGGGTGGGACACCGATGGCCCTCGAATTATTTTCACGTAGCCCGTGGCCACACGTGGCCTCCCATCTTAAAATCGTATTTATCAGCCATGCCAGTGGGGTTCTAGAGGGAAATACCTTTGACCTGGCACCGTAGTTTTTTTATTATTATAATTTTAGCATGCTCTCAGTCCCTTCTGTCACTGCAAAATACTCTTGCAGTGACAGAAGTGGCCGAAGTGCGCGCGTGTCAATGTGTGCTTTACCCACCAAAGGCATTTGAAAGCTCGATTCGACCCTCAATAAGGAGTCGTCCAACCCCCCCCCCCCCCCCGGTCTCAACTAATTCAGGCAGTGGAATCACTTGGCTTCATGTTGCAGAACATGAATGTATTTATATTCTTGGATCTTTCGGTAAAGTCACGTAGAAGGGAAACAATAAAATAATAAAAAAATATAAAACAATTAAATTGTCACGCCTTTTTTCAAATTTTCTTGCTGTGGTTTTCACACCTGATGATGATTGCTTGTGTTGCAGTGGAAACGTCGTGAGAATTTTATTGTTTAATATATATATTTTTTATTGTTTCCCTTCTACGTGACTTTACCGAAAGAACCAAGAATATGAATCCCTGCAGTCACGAAAGCTTTAAATAAAAAAATGAATGTATTTGTTGAGAATACCCGATCTGATTACAACCTCGGAGCAGCAGGTGTTTAGTACCATTTGAGACGGCGCCATATTTTTTTTATGTCGGTGAGTTTCTCTCAAGGTTTTTTTTAATTGCCTGCCAAATCCCATTTGTGAGTGATTGGTTGAAGGGCTTCTTCTTACGGATGCTCATCCCCTACCTCTTGTTAAACGCTTTTGGTTAGAGTGTTCCTTTGTTGCTCAAAGAGGAGCTTCAGCAGTTCAGCGCTTGAATTTATGCACCAGTTCAATACTGCTGATGTCTTTTTGAACACCTGGTTGGCACGAAAGGACGCATTTCTTTAGAGCAGGTGTTTAACCTTGACTCGTGCGTGCATTTTTCTGCTTCAAAGAGCTTCGCCGAGTGTTTCTGATGCCCATCATGTCTAAGATACCTGCTCTGAATAATGATCACGTAAAAATAGCCCTTTGTTGTGTCGCCTTAATTAAATGAAACGGTTTTGCAAGTTGTCAAAGAGAAAATAACTTTTTTTATATTATCCTGATGATTTCCTTTGCATTACCATTAATAGACTTTGCTGTATTATAAATATTGGCCTGGGTAAAGCAAAGACCTTAACTTTGGGACTGATTGCATTCGGTAGCATTTTTACCACCAAATTGCTGAATATTTTGGTGAAAATGTGAATGTGTCCAATTGCAGCCATTATGTTCATTAATGTGAGTAAAAGCCACTGGGCTAATGACATAATTTGCTCAAAATAGATGTTTTAAAAATATAATGTGATGAACAGGGTGTCAAGTAAACGTTGCAGAGTGCCTTTGATCTGGTACCGCCGGCCGTTAAACACAGACGTGCCACTTACAATAGTAGACCTTCACTAAAATCTCACGGTCTTGTGTCTTGTAGTTTTCTACAAGCCCCAGCGGTGGTGCATTATAGGCAACAAAGCCATATTCTGTTTTATTGTTTACTGGCTCTTTAATGCACAGTTCCAAAGCAGACCTCCGCAAATTGTAAAGATGACTGATTGAGTCAATATCCAATAACATGTGTAATGGAAATTGCTGCACGCCCCTGCCTCCTGACTTTAACAACGGAACGGGTCAATAATTTTTTTTTTCTTTATTTCAGGGCACATCTGGTCCTGACCCAACCACGGTCTACGTCGATATGAGAGCTTTAAGAAATGACAGGTATGGCTGCAGCGCTCTATTGCGTTAATCTATTACAACTGCACAAATAAATACCCTCTGGGAGATTATCCGTGACTACGAATGAATTATTAAGCAGCCTCGCCAAAGTCCAATTTTAGTGTCTTGCGAGGTTCAACTTTTTTTTAAGTGACATGTAGATTTAGAGCCCCTTCCTATCAAGGCAGCCGGCACTGTTAAGCCCCTTTGATTAAAAAATGAAAAAATTGGACCCAAAACACAGCTAATGCGTTTCTAGACTGTGCATCTCCATTCTGGCCAAGTAAATCAAATGGGAGTGCTTTCAGAAAGCCTGCTTTTGTGTATCTGCCCAAAACTCTAAATCAGGGCTGTCTGGCCATTACTACCTAATTCAGTAATCTCCACTGGCAGTACGTCAAAGGACAGACTGGTGCTTGTTTTGATTTCTGGCACTGCTTTTTTATTAATAGCGCGCCGATTTACTTTCAGGGTGCGTCTGGTGGAAAAAGGTTCGCCACACAGCTTGCCCCTAATGGAGTCTGGAAAGGTGGGATCATGCTTATCCATTATGCATGCCGTCCATAGTAAGGCCACACTGTCACATATCTAAAACATTGCACAGGTAACTTTAATGTGCAGTTATATATCTTATCTCGCTTCCAAAAAAGGCACTTTAGAATTTACGTTGGGTTTATGCGGTCTTATTTTCTGCTCATTTCAGGTGTTTTTAAGCAGTGGTTTGCTAAAAAAAATTGTACATTGTTAAAATAGAAAAGGAAATAACCGCTTTATTTTTTTTTATTTTCCGTGTAATGCACAAACACATTTTTTTATGGTTGTAAATGGTTGCAATAATAACATGAGGTCATGGTTTAAGTAATATTAGCAATTTCCGCGTTACGTATTAATGCAGTTATTAGTCCAAATGACCGGCAGCATTGATCCAGCCAGGACTAGTTAGGGAGGTCACGTCACTCGTGGCCGATAATGTTAATTAACTGATTGATAATGTTCATCATCGTTTTCACCTTAATTGTATTGGACACAACCTGCCTTGAGCCCCTCGATCTGTGCCGAGCCAGCACTAAATGTGGAACTGGGCAGGGGGGGAGAGGTGGGTGGTGGGGGGGCGGGTGTCCTTTGTGGACCGTGGAGGGTTTTTGCCATAAGAGGGTGATTTTTTTTCTTTTTTTGCGCAGATCTTACCTGGAGTACGCGTGATGATCGTGAATCCAGAATCCCTCGGTCCACTGGGAGATTCGGATCTGGGAGAGGTAAGACTTTATATGAAATGGTTGTTTTTTCATTTTTACGACAGAAGGCGTGACAATCTCAAGACGTTTGTGTGAGAGTCCTGCATTGGGATGCTTGGCCAAATCCCATTAGTTAGTGTTTTGGCATGTGTGAGTTAAACCGGATTACCCGGAGAAAACCTCCATACACAAGGGGGGGGGGGGGGGTGAGACTCAAAGCTCTGCACAGATACGTTCAAGAAAACATTCCTGGACCGCTATCTCCCTTGCCACCTTGCAGGCCAAGCCTACAAGACATCGTAATCCCAGGCAGTCTCCCATATAAATACTAAACCAGCCTCAACCCTGCATAATGTATCATTGTTTCTGCCTCAGTGTTCAAGTAGTCACTAAAATAACAAGAAGTTGTCCTTTTTTTAATGCGGGCATATAGATCTTAAACAAGAGCATTCGGCTACATTTGAGCACCATCCTTTCCTCCATGTGGAAAGAAACTCGTGTTTTATTATATCATCGGAAAATAATATTTATTTTTTTTAGTTTGATGTCGCTATTGCACTGTTCTTGTTGTTAACGTTTCTATGAATACGGTTAGTACGCCTCTCGTACATGCTGCTGTGCGTGGTATTGAATTGTCCACATTGCAATTGGACCGTTTGGCAGTCGCCCAAGACTTTTGCGGTACGGTTCATCTCTCGCTTGTCTGAGTCAATCAGCTATCCCACAGTACGTGTGACAGGGGGCGCTATCCAGCTATGAGGCCAACAGACTCTATTGATCTCGACAATTTGCGCACCAGCAGACCCTAGTACGCAATGCCATTTCGATTTACAGAGTGTAAGAAAATATGGAATCTTGCGAAAATACAAATTTGCGCAATGGAGAGATAGGAGACTGCAGCTCATAGATGGGAGAGGGTGATAAAGTAATATATGGTTGAATGCATTTAAAGAGAGGCAAGAAAATTATAGGCAGAGATCAAAAGGAAAATCTTCAGCCTGGATTTGAACAGGTTTAGATATGGCTGGGTTTTGATGGATTTTCAGACGGATGAGAGGATGAGGAGTTTGAATAACAGATCCATGGGGGAATCTGCGCAGAAGGGGGAGTAACCTTCCATTGAGCGGAGGTTGAGTGGGGGGTTTCTACAGAAGGCGACCTGGGTTACTGGAGTGCAGAGCACATGAAGGGGAGTAGACGAAGATGAGAAACAAGCGTATACGGGCATGTCCAAAGACAATCTTAAAGATAGTAAGGACGATTTTGCAGTAAATTAAAATACACGATCAGGACTCTCCACACCTCCGATATGCATACATACATACAGACTCTCCACATGCCCCCGCACCTCCGAATAGCACGGTTGGCTACATACGGTGCGAAATAAGTTCAACATACATACATACACACACGTGTTTGCACCATCACCGTAAACCACAAGTCATATCTCACTTGCTGTACACGCAAACCCTTATGAGTGACCCACGGTTCACCGAGTTCGCTCGTGTCATTCGTTTTGCCCCGTCGACCCTCGCCTGCTTTTGCTCCACTCTTGCCGACAGATATGGGTTCAGAGCCCGCACGGGGCGAGTGGGTACCACTCATTTGTGGGCGACGCCTCGCTCATCGCGGGTCACTTCGACGGGCGGCTCAGGGTGGGCGACACCCATGCCGTGTGGGCCCGCACCGGCTACCTGGGCTTCTTGCGACGCACGGACCTCACCGACGCAAACGGAGGTTCGCTCCCTGACGCCTGGGGTCACTTGCTCCCGCGTGATTTTGTCGCATTTCGCACTGCAATTTTATTTTTTACTTACAATGTGTTTTCTTCCCTGGGCAATAAGGAATTGTTTTCAAAAGCTATTACCATAGCGCAGCGTAACATTTTCAAAATTGCCGTTATTATCGGCGTAAATTAAACAACGTGCTATTCGATCTCACACACGAAAAGCAAACCAGTGCCCAACATAGCACAAGGGCATTAAAAGCCCTCCGGAATTTCAGTCAACCAAGAATAAATTTAACCCATGCAACTACAACACGAAATTCACAAATATCCTGGGGAGTATGGGAATTGTAATTGGGGAACTTTTTTTTTTTCCTGGGAGAAAAAGACTGACACAGGTTCATCATTGCTGAATAAATTATGAGGCCTCGCAAGGTCTCCGTTCAATAACGATCGCAGCAGGGACTAAGTGTGTGGTTTTCTTTTTTTTTACCGCCAAACCGCTTAGAATGCGATCGTCGTTCTTAGTAATGAACGAATTAATGAATAAACTAATGCCCCCTTCCCCGTGTAAAAAGTCTGCGTTCCCGCTCGCACGGTCCCTGCTCACACGGTCCCTGCATAAGTGGGGCAGTGAGCCCATTTTTCCCCCCTTTCCCCCGACCCAATGAGCACTGTGTTTGGGCTTCTGATCCACTGAATTTCTGTGCCAACGTTCCCTCGTTACTGCCCGCATTTCTGTGCCCGGGCTCTTGTAAAGGAACAAACGCAATGAATGAGAAGAGAAGAGAACGAGTGGCCGAGGTCGATGGCAGTGATGTACGTACAGCGAGGGAAAAAAATATTTGATCCCCTGCTGATTTTGTACGTTTGCCCACTGACAAAGAAATGATCAGTCTATAATTTTAATGGTAGGGTTATCTGAACAGTGAGAGACAGAATAACAATAAAAAAATCCAGAAAAACGCATGTCAAAAATTGTAATAAATTGATTTGCATTTTAATGAGGGAAATAAGTATTTGACCCCCTCTCAATCAGAGATTTCTGGCTCCCAGGTGTCTTTTACACAGGTAACGAGCTGAGATTAGGAGCACACTCTTAAAGGGAGTGCTCCTAATCTCAGCGTGTTACCTGTATAAAAGACACCTGTCTACAGAAGCAATCAATCAGATTCCAAACTCTCCACCATGGCCAAGACCAAAGAGCTCTCCAAGGATGTCAGGGACAAGATTGTAGACCTACTTACACAAGGCTGGAATGGGCTACAAGACCATTACCAAGCAGCTTGGTGAGAACGTGACAACAGTTGGTGCGATTATTCGCAAATGGAAGAAACACAAAAGAACTGTCAATCTCCCTCGACCTGGGGCTCCATGCAAGATCTCACCTCGTGGAGTTGCAATGATAATGAGAACGGTGAGGAATCAGCCCAGAACTACATGGGAGGATTTTGTCAAGGATCTCAAGGCAGCTGGGACCATAGTCACCAAGATAACAATTGGTAACACACTACGCCGTGAAGGACTGAAATCGTGCAGTGCCCGCAAGGTCCCCCTGCTCAAGAAAGCACATAAACATGCCTGTCTGAAGTTTGCCAATGAACATCTGAATGATTCAGAGGACAACTGGGTGAAAGTGTTGTGGTCAGATGAGACCAAAATGGAGCTCTTTGGCATCAACTCAACTCGCCGTGTTTGGAGGAGGAGGAATGCTGCCTATGACCCCGAGAACACCATCCCCACCGTCAAACATAGAGGTGGAAACATTATGCTTTGCGGGTGTTTTTCTGCTAAGGGGACAGGACAACTTCACCGCATCAAAGGGACGATGGATGGGGCCATGTACCGTAGAATCTTGGGTGCGAACCTCCTTCCCTCAGCCAGGGCATTGAAAATGGGTCGTGGATGGGTATTCCAGCATGACAATGACCCAAAACACATGGCCAAGGCAACAAAGGAGTGGCTCAAGAAGAAGCACATTAAGGTCCTGGAGTGGCTTAGCCAGTCACCAGACCTTAATCCCATAGAAAATCTGTGGAGGGAGCTGAAGGTTCGAGTTGCCAAATGTCAGCCTCGAAACTTTAATGACTTGGAGAAGATCTGCAAAGAGGAGTGGGACAAAATCCCTCCTGAGATGTGTGCAAACCTGGTGGCCTACTACAATAAACGTCTGACCTCTGTGATTGCCAACAAGGGTTTTGCCACCAAGTACTAAGTCACGTTTTGCAGAGGGGTCATTAAAATGCAAATCAATTTATAACATTTTTGACATGCGTTTTTCTGGATTTTTGAGTTGTTATTCTGTCTCACTGTTCAAATAAACCTACCATTAAAATTATAGACTGATCATTTATTTATCAGTGGGCAAACGTACAAAATCAGCAGGGGATCAAATACTTTTTTCCCTCACTGTATGTATATCGAATTTCTTTCGCACCACTATGTACGTAGCCAACCGTGTTAATCGGAGGTGCGGGGAAAGCAAAATAAACACAAAGAACTGCATTTAATTAATTGCTTTTTGTGTGGCTGGGTTTTCGTCGACCGACGTTTTTTCGAAACCGCCTTTCAGAGCGTCACGACGCGCTGTACGTGGTGGGCTCGCTGGAGGAGGCCATGGAGCTACGCGGAATGCGCTACCACCCCGTGGACATTGAGGCCTCCGTGCTGCGAGCTCACAAGAGCATCACTGAGTGGTGAGGGACGCCGTGGCTATCGTGACTCCCCCCCCCCCCGTGATCGCTCGCATCCAATGGCCATGGCTCACCGGGAGCAATTTTCTGGCCATTGTTGCCCGAAGTCACCGCTGGTAATAGTTGCCGCACTGTTTTATGTTATGAGCAATTGGTTGCAAAAATCTCGAGGAATTGTATGGCCACTCCCCCTATTGAGCAACTTGGATGACAACAGCCATATCAGATTACAGATATAGGTCACATAACTTCCCAAGGTTTTGTGCCCTGTAAAACCAATTATTCTTAATATAATAATGTTCAATAATCTATTTTCATTGCATAGATGGAACTATGCAATCGTCATACCATTTTACTTTTGTGTATAATGGCTCTAACTCTTAGATGCAGCCCTGGGTCCAAAATATTATATCTTTGGTATATATTTTACAGGCTCTTGCTTGACCTTATACAAGACATTTAACATTTATTCACATAAAGGGATCAATAAGGGATGTTTTCTTAGCAAATATTTCATATTGCTTGTGCAGATCTTCCGAACAGTGTAGAGTATTTCAAGACTGCATCGATATTTCGGAGCGCGAGTGTTGTTGCACGCGCAACCTGCGGATATTTACTGCTTAAAAGCAGAGGTGGAGCGATTCTCCGCTCCGGCAGACTGGGGTTCGACTCCCGGTGTTGCGCATCAGTGGCAAGTGTGCTGCAAATCGTCCCTGGGTCCCCATCTATAATTGGCTCAGCCATAAATGAATATGTGGCACTGTGTAGCTGTAAACGTCGCTAATGGTGGATCTCAGGTGTGGTGATCGCCACACCGCCATCACTCCTGCTCCCCCTTCCTGCACCGTGCTGCCTGTAATGAATGGGTGCTCGCCAACGACAATGGGGCCTCTTCTTCAGTCTGTAAACTTGATTCACGTGCACACAAAACGTCTTGGACGGTTGCAGTTACTTGCTGTGGTGTTTGTAGGCGCTTGGGGAGACACTTTGATGGCAAATGTTAAACTCACTGGTTTTGCATCTTATTTAATTTACAACGAGAGAAAAGAGCTGAAAGTTACATGCACAGAAGTTCAATTGCATCCCATTTCATTACACTGACCTTCAGAAAAGCAACTTGGCTGTGAAAACAGAGGAATAAAAACTAATTAATGAATGGTTGTTCATTTTTTAAAATCTGTATTAAAACGACTATTTTAAATTATAGCTACACTTGCTAATAGCACAAAGCTCCAGGTTACAAACAAAGCTGAGCTCATCCCCATACTGGGTACTGTTTGATAACAAAGGTCTTAAGGGTTTATAAAAAGGCCCTATTTAATTAAAAAGGTATTGCTGTTGAAACCCAAAAATTTGCGTCATTAATAAAAACGTATTAAGCAAGCACCATAACGCTGTACATTGGCCAAGCCAATCAACATTGTACCTTGTGCGTAGATTTGTTCTGCTTCATTAATTTAATAAAACATCTGTTCCATGGATGAGCGATTTCAAGGATGTTAAGTGTGCACTCACCCATGCCATTCAAAAGACAATGACAAAAATCCCCCGTGTAGTCTTTAACAGACTGTTGGGGCAAGTGCTGTTAGCGAGTAGCACCTATGAAGGCTGGAACGGCACACGAGGGGATGGGTGGCCAGCACCACACCCGGCTGCCTTTGTCTCCCTAGTGGCAATGTTTACAAATCGCACAAGGTACTCATTTGAGGCTTAGTCGACCTAGGAGAGGCCCAGGACTGGTTCAGATAATTGTAACCGGTGTTTGCCATGAGCAGTAATCGAACCTGACGTGCCGGGTTCATAGCGCAGTGTGTTAGCCGCTACATTACCGCTCCCCATCCACTTACACACTCACACACCTCGTACGCACCTGCCTTCACATCAATCTGCACATCCACCCACACACCTATGCACTCAACCACTTACATACCCACGTATCTATCCGTGTACCCACCGACCTACTCGTGCCGCTATCAAAGCACCTACCCACCTATAAAACTGCATGCTTGCCCGGCGATGTACATATGCACAAACTCGCCCACCTACTCACCCACGCAACTATCCACCCACTCATCGCGCCTGCGTGCACACCCACAAACTCATCCCACACATCCGTGTCCTCACCCGTGTCCCGATTCTGTCCCCCCCACCCCCCACAATTCTCACAGTGCCGTGTTCCCCTGGAAGAACCTGCTGGTGGCCGTGGTGGAGTTTGGGGGCCTCGAGCAGGAGGCGCTGGACTTGGTGGCGCAGGTGACGGGCGCGGTGCTGGAGGAGCACTACCTGGTGGTGGGCGTGGTGGTGCTCGCCGACCCGGGCACTGTGCCCATCAATTCGCGCGGCGAGAAGCAGCGCATGCACCTGCGCGACGGCTTCCTCGACGACAAGCTCGACCCCATCTACGTCGCGTACAACATGTGAGCGAGGCGCGCGGTGCGTGGCGGGCGGGACGAAGGCGACAGACAGATGCGCCACCCGAGAGACTTTTAGTTTTAGGTAAAGTGAGTGCTGGGGGAATTTAGGGATTCTTGACGGTTTTAATAGAAAGGTTGACAATGATGAAGGGATGCGCGATCGGGTGGAAAACGAATTTCGGTTATGGTTGGGACAGTGAAGGTATGGCCTTGGCTTTAGAGGCCCAGACAGTGAAGGTATGGCCGTGGCTTGCAGGCCCACCGGGATGGCTGGGTTGGGATGGAGAGCAGTGGTGGATCGCTTGTCCCCGTAAATGTTCACCGTTTGTGTTTAGTCAGTGCCTCATTCACCCCATGAAGCTTTCCGAATCGCCATCGTCTCCCGCTGAAATCCCTCAAAAGTCCTTGGGATGATTTCCAAAAGCTGCGATTTAAACCGTACAGATAATGCTGGTGGTCATACTGTGCGTGCTGTGTATTTAAATACTATTATCCTTTTTTTGTTAATATTTTTCCCTGCAACATGTCTGCTTGCACAGACCTGCGTGTGGGCTCTAAGAGTAGCGGTGCCATTGGCGCAGAAGCATAATGCACATTACAGCCACACGCCACATGTTGTACCATCGTCATACCAAACATCACAGCCACACAGCACACACACCACACACCATCACAGCCACACACCACGTATGACTGTTGCCTAACCCAAACCACACAGCCACACTCCCACACATCACCGCCACACCACAACAACAGAAATATATTTTAAAATATCCTCCTGTTTCCACCCATCCCCTCATCCACCACCGAACAGGATTCGTTTTGCCCTCCTGTCCTCTGGGTCGCATTTTTGCTTTATCTCGGCAGTCATTCTACCCATCGGCAAATGCCGAGTGCTAAAATGTTCCGCATTCATTTTCACATTCATATTTCCTAATCTATCCTTGGCATTCTTTATGCATGAACTAACAGTGCGAGTAAATGCCATGGATCTGGCCAGGGATGTAGTTTAAGTTCGGTAAAGCAGCAGGGCACTTAATCATGAGATTGAGCTCAAATCCAAGCCTGGGTTGGCTTAGACCCATCATCTACATCACCCCCCCCCCACTACACTCCCCCTCTCCACGGGGCGAGTAATTAACCAGCCCCACCTGGTGAGGCTGCCCCTATTTCGCGGGATGTCAACAGTGGTTGTTCTGTGGAGAGAAGAAGACTGGTCTTCACAATACTCAGACCGGTCATCGGAATGTGGAATTTCTATCGGCGGCTCAGCACCCCCAAAGGAAAAATAGCACCGCCCAATGCTCATTTGGAGACATGCACATTGCTATTTTTCTCTAGTTATCTCGATGCCATTTAAAAACATTTTAATGTTGTCATTGCCAATTTTATATTCACCCCCTACGTTCCGTTTGTCGGCGTGTTCAAAGCTCGCTGGACGGTCTTCCTTTTTTTCCTGGGAGGGGTGGGGGCAGAGATGCGCGGGGGTGGGGGGGGGGGCGGAGATGCGTGGGGGGGTATAAACGGTGCGATGCAGCCTGCGTGTCATCAGCCACGCGCGAGCGCATGGCTCGGTGCTTTGGCAGAGCCTCCCTGCTGAGCATCAAAAGTATGTTTTGCCACACCCTTTATGTGACCATTCCCACTGGAGGTAGAGCAATGAAGTGATGTCTCTATTGCAAAAAAGCAACAACACTCAGTCATCATCCCTGACCTCAGCGTTATACTTTATTGGCCAAATGTGCCACAGAGGAGACCTTCCCTGACGAAGTGTTCACATTCATCAATCTTTTGTGCACAACAACTCTTTGTATTTCTAAAATAAATAATCATCATTGCTTATTCAAATTTGGATCTGAGGAGGCTATGCCCTGCTGGTGCAAGTTCAGAGTTACTTAAAAATGTATTTTCATCTTGAAGGATGTTCTATTATGTGATTTTTATTAAGCAACTTCTGAAACCTGCTGCACTTCGATCGATGCTTAGTCCATTTGGCACGTTCCCTTTTGTGGTTTAATTGCATTTTTCTGTCAATGTCATTGCGTCTGCAGTGATTGCGGTTTAACGATTGGGGCATTTTAAATTGTTTATGCGAGCGACACAAAGTGCGGAGTAAATGTTTCGCGGCAGAAGAGTTCCAACGCGACAGTGCAGGGACGACTGTGATTCTACCCCCAATGCGCCTCGATCGACGTTAATGGCCATGTTTTATGCAATGACCCGCTCAGTCACTGTCCACTCCAATCCATTGGTTCCTCCAGCTCCCCATGCCTATCGGTAAGCTGCACGTGCATGGTGTCAGTGACCGTCTGATGTACACGTGGATGTAAGGTTTGCTTGGCCGTGAAAAGCTGGGTCGTCCTCGGGGTTCCACGGGGGCAGTCGTTTCAGAACGGCTGGCTCCTGCTGTGTGCCCCGTTTTTTAATGTATTTATATAGCACACATTAAAAGCACATGCAAGAAACTTCAAAGCTTCCTTACAACACTTGAAAGCTCATGGTGCAGTGCTTGCTTGGGTTAAAGCCAGGATTGAATATTTGCATTCTCACCATCTCTCACCTCCTGGAGTCTTTGCATCCTTCTAGGGACGTCGGCCAGGGGATAAAAGGTGTGAATTTATAATGCGATTGAATTTTACCTTTGCCCCACCGTCCCCTCCTCGGTAAGGGTTACAGTGGTGAGCGTTAATGTTTGCGTGGTGAGTGTGAATGTTTGTCTGGTGAGCAGGTTAGCCTGTCTGTCTGTCTGGCCATTGCATCCACACGGTGATGGCAGGGCCTAATTTGTGCGTACGTAGGTAGAGCTGTCACGTTTGTGTTTTCATTACGCACTGCGGATAAAATCACACCAACAATAGTGAATTGGAAAACGTGGCTCGCATCACTGAATTAAATTTTCTGCTTGCGTTTTTTTTTTTCCTCGGGAGAAACCGCGAATGACATGAGGCACACAAAACCGCCAGCCTGACGATTGACGCAAAAATACAATCTGCCAAAAGAATCTGTTCGCATCTTCAGAATTGAATCAAATGTCATTAAGCAGCGCTCTGGCATCTGCTTGTTTATGCCAGTCGTGAACATCAACTTGCTATAATGTGGCTGAAATGTATTCACTGCTCGGATAATGATTCTCTGTCCAAACCTCTTGGGAGCCTTTTTTATGTAATGCAACCCCCCCATTAGTGTTTTTTTTTTTTCAAAATTGAACAACAACAAATTCCGGGTTTGAACTCATTTCTGCACTCCCTTCAGAGACATGATACAGATTGTCAGAGTTTTTCATATATGCACATTTCTGCATTGAGCTTCCCAATCGTACACATTAAACTGTCCTCTGTAATTAATGCGTCTCGGTGTACTGCTCTTGCCACTTGGACATTTTCTTCCCCATTACGGATTAGCACGTCGTCCAGTGTCTCTTTATGTTTTTGCATTTGAAGGCCGGGAACGTTGTGTGTGTGCGCATTAGCGTGGTGCAAGCGGTGCTTGGTGTGGGGTGAGGTTTTTTTTTTTGCTTGATTTAGAACACCAGATGGTACGTACTTCCTTGGCAATGTTGCACTTGAAATTGTACATTGAATTTCTTTGTGAATTTGAGAACGTCTGATGACATTCTTGCGCGGCTGTGCTTCCAAAAAGAGGTCGGGTGCGTGCGTGCATGATACTTTATCCTGTAGGCATGTCACGTGACGATTCTCACCCTGCTGCCCAGTCGATTGTCACATTTCAGTGACGCGATTCGAATCAAATACCAGTTGTTTTTTTTTGTCGTGGTTTATGTCTAAAGTTTACCATCTCATTTGTATTGTTTAGTTTTTTTGTCTTGCCTGTACATTTTGTGTTTCTCTGCTCCATTAGTTTCAATGTGACATCATATCCTTTGCATTGAATTATTATAAATAATCAAATCTTACCCGCACGATTTACCGCTTTTATCGTGAGCGTAAAAATCGCTTTTACGCATTGAATCGTTGTGCCGAGTGCCTTTAGATATGCAGAGGTGGGGGGGAAAAGTTTAAAGCATTGAAAAATACTTTCCTTAAAAAAATGTTGGCAAGGCCATCTGCTCGGTTGTGACCAAATGAGCACTGCTTGTTGCAAATGTATACTCTTAGCGTTTTAATCGATTGCTTTGTGGTGACATCTACAGAGTTTATTAACGCTCTATGATGTTCTATCTCTATCGGTTAACAGCAAAATATTATTAAATCGTCTGCTTCAAGTTTTCAGATAGCATTCGCTCGTCGGCGTCGACAAAGGCCGCTTGTAAACTTGGACCAGACTGCAACCTGCCTTTGGAAACGGCTAATAACAGCCTTCTAATCTCACATCTCTCTCGCCTAGATACGCGATGTAGCTTTGGGGGAGGGAGGAGGCGAGAGGGGTGGTTTGGTTGAAGGCGCGGAATAATATCAGCAAACTTTGTCCTTCATGGGTTTCATTCTGATGAAAGAGCCGTTGAGGTGCAGAGGCATTAATGCGCGAGTAAAATTCACGTGATGCGTGCGCACGCGTGCATAAAATAACGTGAAACTTAGTGGAAATTATCAACGTTAAATTATGAAGGGTTATATTTTTTTTTGGGGGGGGGGGGAGGTGGGGGAAGCTTTACAGAACATGGGACTATATGCAACGTCGTTTCTTTTAAGTTTGTGCCATGGTGACGTTTCATCGCAACCACGTATTTTGTTGGAAGTGTGAGGGGAGGTCAGAAAGTATTGCGTAATTATTAATATTTTAATACTGGCAAACATTATTTCATTGTTATGTAATGCGTCGTTCATATGTAATGATTGGGCCATAACAAAAGTGTGGTATCGCAGGCAGTAGGTGTTCTGATGACAAGTTCAAATCCTTGTCAGGTTTTACTAATCCCATGATGATAATGATGATCATCTCTCATGCGTCAATAAAACGACACCACAAAAAGTAAAAAAGCTCCCCCCCGTCTTTTGGCAATACTGTCATAAATGTAGGGCTTAAGAATTTACAGGGTTTGGTTGAATAAATGTTACCTTAAATGATTTTTGAACAATTTTGACCACCCCCTCGGATGTAGTCTTTATGTAGTATATAACTGTAACATTTTGACTATAGGTCAAAGCAAAAATATTGTAAAAACTCTTTAAATAATGTTTTCACAGCAAATGATTTACCAATGCCAAAATGTGTGAAGGTTATTTTATCAATAAAATACAAAATAACTTAATTGTTTTATCTGCCGGCCAGCATTGTCTTGTTTAGATAATTAAATGTTTAATGTCACTAACAGTTTAATAATGTCATCATTGCTATGTAGAGAAAAGTGCCTGCAGAGTCAATGTCCACAATCGTAGCTTTTAGGCCCGGTCCACATATGGGCAAATTTTACAAAGCGACACATGGTAAACACGACGACAACTTCCGCCCGAATCCGTAGTTCGTTCTTAAATAGCACTTCGTGCCAATTTCCCGCTTTCACCAAAGGGGGGAGAGCGTCTTGGAGAGGCTAAGACGATTGGCAGGCGAACGCAACACGACGTGGCCTGACTTTCACGTGATATCACTTCCCGGTGGAATGGGTGCGAAGCTGCGAGCAGGATAGGAAATCAAGGTTCGGTCGCCAACTGGCCCGTTGATACGTCTCGATAGAGTGACGCGTTTGTGCGACGGTCATTGTGTTGCTCTGTAAAAAAAAAAATCTCTGTGTGGCCTGGACTTTGTGTAGCTCCACCAGCTGAAAGCGACTTGCTTTTGCACTATGCTATATCTAGAATAAAATTAACTTGGTGGTGTGCCTTTAAAGTACCTAAATCTACCACTGGCAAAAATCTTCCCTGTATGCAGGAACAAAATCTCGCGTAGCATTTTAAGTTTTAATTGATTTCATAAAATGTTTCCACTAATCTCATAACTTGAGTTCATTCACTTTACGTTCTGAGCAATAGTATGCACATAATCAGGGTTAAGGTGTGAAATAGATTTAACTGTAATAAAAATTAAAATAAAGGGAGTTGATGTTAAGATATCGTGTTGCTGGAACTGTCGCAGGTTCGGTTTGTATACACTGGAAATGTTTAAGCTCCAAACTTGAATGATATGTCATTTTATCAGCTTTCGTTTAATCATGGTATCATTGCTCTGTTGTCGTTTTGTAAATATTTATGTAGCGATGCTAATTTTCTATTGTAACGAACTAAATAAAGGGTTTTTTCAATCAAAAAATAATTGGTGATCTTGGTGGCTGTGTATTATTTTTGTTTCAAGCGATGTCAGTGGGTGGTCACACTGCTGCTGAGCGTACGTGTTTTAAGGATGTTCCAGCAGATAGCATTATGGCACGCAAAGACACGTGCTTTCATCAAATCTTCTCCTTTTGCATAAATGTGGTTACATTCAATGAAATTCTGGGTTAATTGAGAATTTCAGGGATTTACATCTTGGAGAAATAACACTTAACAAAAAAACCAAGAAGAATAAAAACCGTTGCTCGCTGTGATTT